AGAGAAGTATCATACACATTTTGCTATGAACTTCAAGAAATTCCGTTTTTCTGCAAGGACTGTGTGGTATTTGATTGACCGTGACAGGAATCATTTAGAGAGTTTTCTTCACAACTCCAACAGTAGATTTGTGCAACATGCATGCTATCAACTTCGTGAGTATGTTCAGGCGCGTGTTGCAGTTTCTGATCCCTTGTATGAGATGATCAAGAAGGAAGAGTTTGAACGCCAATACAATTCCAAGTTTTTGGAGGCGATTTCTTGCTCTCGTGTTGTAGTTGAGCCTGTAAGTTCAGGGACGTATGAGCCATCATCGAAGCTGAACTCAAAGGTACTACAAGACATCCTGAAGGGTATCTTCAAGATCCAGAAGGATGAGGAGCTTGCCAAGGAACGTGATGAAGAAGAAGAACAGGCAGCTCAAAACATCTCATACCTGTTGGCAGATGATATGGAGCTTGATTTTGATGATGATGATGTTCCAGTATGGCGCTCCATTGTCGACAAGTATAGAGGAGGTGATCAGGCGCTACAGGGAGAAGCTGTGAAGATTACTCACCTGTTCAGGGATCAAAAGGACAATGAGAAGGCGACAGAAGCTTTCAGTTCAGAGAGGACAGATTTTTATGAGACCTCAGGACCTCTTCCAAGAACCGAGGGAGAAAATCTTGTAGAGGACTTGCTCACCAAGGATGTTGCAGAACAAGCTTTTGAAGCAGGTGAAGAAGTTCCTCCTTATACAAGAGTCTCCACTATCACTGGTGAAGTCTATACTGGAAGTAGAACACTTCTAGAAGATGAGAATATGGAAGAGGAAGTTCCTGAAGAAGATCCTGCAGTTGAACCTGGAAAGGAAGAAGAAATATTTGATGAAGACGCAGGTGTTTTTCCTTCAGAGGAACCAAAGATGGAAGTTGACCAGGAGGAAGCCAAGGCAGAGTCAACACCACACTTTCTGTCAAGAGAGATAGGTGAGGACTCGACTGCGTCGCACTTACCATCAGGTGAGATGGATGCTAACCTTGATGATACTTCAGGTCAGCGGAAATCTAAGAAAAGCCGCCTGAATAAGATTCCTGATCCTCATTTTCATGAAGAAGTTCAGGATGATGCAACCATGGAAGAGAAGAAAGAGGCGGTGGAGAAGATAAAAGAGGTCAGAGAGGATGATGGAGAGAAGAAATTGGAGGCTGAAATCCAAGAATCTTTTCCATCTGAAGTAGTTGTTGAAAAGGATACAACAAAAGTTGACAATACCTATGAGTTGCACACTTCACCTTTAAAGTTGCTTGGAGAGCTTACAGGAGATCCAGGTATTGGCTTTTATCAACTATGCTTCAGGGAAACTCATGCAAGATTGCTGAATCATGTTTGTTTCAGAAAAGGTGAGATTTCCCATCCTCATTATCAGTCAAGGATCAACGAGAATGATTTTGTTCGATCCATTCGCAATATCTGTCCAGTACCTCCACCTGATTGTTACGAACATGAACCAGAGCATGATTTGAAGAGATTCTTCATCAATGATGACCGCATCATTTATTTGGATGGCAGGTATCAGGTCGATCCAAAGGCCCTTGAAAGGGCAGGTCATGCTCGAGAAGAATTGGAGGATACGAAAAAGGAACTCAAGAAGGAACTGGAATCATATGGTCCCAAGGGACCCAGTTGGGACTTTGTCACCTTCGATGAAGAGCTGTGCAGAAGGTTCCTCAAGGGAAGAATAGAAGAACCATATGGAACTAATTTATTGGCCAGCTCAGAGTCCTTGACATTTTTATCCTGGAACTATGGCAACATGGTTCGTGGTCAGAAGTACACCACACCAAGGTTTCTCCAAGGACTTGATAGTGCAATGAGGCCACGCAAACAGAGCGCCATGTCACTTCAGAATGAGCAATTTGAGAACAACCTTTTCTTCAACATGCTCTTCTTTTTACGTGCACATGTCGTGATTCTCCAGGAAGCTCATCTTCTTGTTCCTGCCAAGGAATTTATTGAGCAAAAGAATTGGACAGTTTGTTTCAATGATTGGGAGAATCTTGCAGTGATGGCTAGATTGGCACCAGGTGGATATGTCAAGATCATTGCTGGACATGACCAAGATCTTGGTCACTGTGAACAGCGTGATGTAACTTGGGCTATCTACGAGATTTGTTTTGGAGAAACAAGGCCTCGTCAAGATTTCAAGGATGCAGACTTTGAATTTGATGACTATGGTCCTGAAGACAAGCGTGTTCCACTTATTCGAGCGAACATGCACACCATCAGAGTCTGTAATTATCATGTTGATACACACCGTGCTGTGGATGCCCACCTACTGACAGGAGAACAGACAGCATTGATGCTTTACGAGTGTTTTGTCTATGAGGTGGACATCATTTCTGGTGATGCAAATAGTTTGGCCTACAGAATGTCTGGGTACAAAAGGCAGCCAATGGCTAACTACTATTACAGCACCATGCAGCATTGGATCCGCAGGTTTTCAGAAGCTCGTGTCAAAGCAGATCCGGGTATCAAAGCACCTATTCCCAGAACATTTTACAGTTCAACTTCACAGGTCCTCAAGAATTGTGAAGATTACTTTGACAAACTCTGGGAAGAATATGCTACTGTTGAAAAAGAAGAATACCAAGGATCAAAGCTTGGCGATACATGTTTGTCTACCATTGTTGAATGGGGTCATTCAATGAGTGAAGAGGAATATGAAAATTCCACAGTGAGTACGAAGGAGTTCATCTGTAATTTTTCAGAGAACTTTGCTATGATTGACACAGAGGTTATGTGCTCAAGGCCCACTGACGAGGACAGTCATGGTCCAATGTTTATTTCACTCAGACCAGCTTCCTTTTCATCTGGAGACAGAAAACAGTATCGCATGGGACCAACTCTTCATGAGGCGAACTTGCGGAGGAAGGAGAGACAAAAGCAGAATAAAAGGAAAGGAAGGCCGCCAACTTCTGATCAAGCAACTTCATCGTTTGCAGCGGCATAATTCCTGAGCGAAGGCTGAAATTTAAATGATGGCTAGGAAGTGAAGATACTTCTGGTTACAGTTGATACTTTGCTTCCAGGCTTGACTTTAAGTTGCCAGGCTGAAGTTTTAATAAATTCTGGTTTGCAATGAGGAGAAACTTTTTATCAAAGAGGATACTCCTGCATTCCAGGTTTATACGCTTTAGCATGTAGATAGGTATGGACAGTTTTGTATAACTGATGATATCTATCACAGTCGCTTTTCTGAGATGACCTCTAATGGACAACCAGTCATGGTTGATGATTAAGTCATTTCATGATTTGCAATTGTAGTGCAAGATTTTTTGTACATACATTTGCCGGTATCTCCTTCTTGTGTTTTTGATGTGAATGTGAAAGAGAGTCCTTTTGATGCAGTTTATTTTGTCTGTGAATGAAAGCGGTCGAGACCACGTCACGAGAAGATTATTCCTCGGACCGTACGCTCCTTGCATTTTGCAAGGCATCTTAATTCATTGCAATTTGTGCGGTCTTGAATTTTTAGTTCTTTGTTATGCGAGTGTCGTTTGATTCTTTTATAGGTCTCTGTAGAGAAAAAGCCGCTTTCCCTTTTTAGTTTGATTTAGCTCAGGCCCTAAAGAGCTAGTGAGCGCCGGTACATGGTATCTCCGCCTGCGAAAAGTACAGTCTCCAGCCGAGGTACATTATCGATTTGATTTTGTACTTGAGGTGAGTCAGCTATTGCTCCCTCACTGTATTTAGTAGCTATGAGATTACCTTCTCTGAAGTGTGAAACACACTGGATTAGGTAAGTACATGGCACCGTAGTTTTCTTTTAAGTTGTCAGAGCTAGCTGGACTGTTTTAGCCTTGCAGTAGAAAAAGAGTATGCGACATACGCAATCAGCTAGAAGTGGACATGAATCTTGTGCCTGCTGAAAAGTAGAGCCTACCTGTACAGGGTTCCACTCCAACAGCTGATATAGTGTGTCCATGCTTGACTGCTTCAAGGCTCAAAGAGCAAGAGGATAAGACTCTGCGCATAAAAGACACTAGCGGTCTGCACCTCTACCGTGTACGCCCTAGTCACTCTTTCACCCCCTCCCCCCCTCTAAAATCAATTCTCTCCTGGAGATCGTCTTCGTGAGCCTCTCATGATTTCAGGATAGTTGAAACCCTCTTGAACATTCAGAAAGAGTGAATATGAAATTCTAATCACGAAAGGTGTTCCCCGAGGGGATACATACCTAGAGTTTGTTTTGTGAAGCACGTCAATTCTCTCCTGGGGAGCGTCTTCGTGAGCCTCTTAGGGTTTCAGGATAGTTCAAATCCTATGATGTTCCGATTCAATGCTCACCGATGATCTGAGCCATGGGGCAAGTTTGTTTTCCTAAGAATCTTTTTGAACATTTCGAGAGCACATGTTTGAACATTTAAAGTGCATATGAACATATATGTACGAAAGGTCGCCTCCGAGGGGATAAATCACCATGTCGAACATTGCATTTTTGTTCCTGCCTCTCGCGTTCTCTTCTCTTCCCGCTGTCCTACCTTTCGTGTCTCCCTCCTCTCAAGTTACTAGTAGCGACGCACTTGTTACTAGTAGCGACGCACTTGTTACTAGTAGCGATGCACGTGTTACAAGCAAAACAGTTAGTTGGAATCTCGCCAAGAGGATGTAGTCAGTTTTTCCATGACCGGAAGTAATGGTTCGCCAGCCTCACAGATTACTGGAGGCTTGCAGATGCGCACGCCGAAGTCCGGAAACCCTGACTGCGTGGCACGCTGTTGGGGCCTCAACATCCATGGGGTGACGCAGCTGTATCAGATATGGAAGGACCTCTTTGACACGAGCACAATGAGTCCCTGAAAAGAGCGTCTGCAAAGGGTTTGATTCATGTTTATTTACTCGACTCATAGGGACGAAAACTCCATGCGCTTGGCCTTCTCGATCTCCGCAAGTGCCAGCTATATCGCTCCATCCAGACGGGCGCACGATCGCGGCCGCGACGGGCGCACGCGCCCATGGCCGATGCTGGAAGCGGAGAGCGCCCGAACGCGGAGCGCCCAGAGGATTGCGCCGTGTGCTTGGAGGTCTTGGGCGAGGCAGGGGGGTTCACTTTTTTCCCTAAACATATCTGAGAGAAACCACATGTGGGTCATTTGCGATGACTCCAATCGCAGGTGGTGTTTCTAAGAGTTCTGATAGAGTTCTGATAGGGTTCTCTACTGTTGCCAAACATCCATGTAGGCGTGTCCCGTGCGGAAGTTGAGCTGTGGCCGCTCCTTTCATCACGCTTGCGTCGCTCAATGGCTTCTGCGACGCGCCTCCTGTCCGCTCTGCAAATCGGATCCTTCGCAGACACGGGTAGATGGGGTAGATGGATGGGTTGGTCCCTTAGTGGGTGAACACTGCAAATTTTAAAGCCAATGCGACTAGATGTCATTCAACGGAGCGTGGATGGTTCTTGATTCTCACGCCCTTTTGTTCATTCTTTTTTGGCATTTTTGCCCTTAGCTTTATCTAATTTGTCGGATGAGTTCTCTCTTTGGGCCACTTAGCAACGAACCGAAACGACGTACGAGGTACGTGCATTTTTTGCTTGAAAACTATGTCTATGTCACATAATATGTTGATGTGATCATCCAGCAAATCCAGCAGCGAGGATGCTCCGAATGAGACCGATGTTGAGCCAGAGAACCAGCCCTTTCGAATCGATTTGAGTCATCAGGAGAGGTGGGAGATCCCAATGGGCGGAAGATCCCAATGTTTTTTGACCACGATCGAGGTAAGATGGCCAGGTTGGACGTATTATGTCAAATGGGGTCTGTGGTTGGTGCAAGGACGAGGAGATGATCTTATAGTCAGACTCAGCGAGCCAAAGAAACTTTCTTTTCATCACTTGGAAAACCATGCAGGAGATGGCCCAGTTTGTGCATGAGATCGAAGACATTTTCCGCGCCATCCACGTGGGTGTCAGTGACAAGGCTCAAAGAAAGGCACCTGAGACGAAAGTCAAGACCTTCAACGTGATGCCTAGCGACCTGTGGGAGATGTTCCCAATGAGCACTTCCACGGAACAATTTCCAAATGTCCAACACTGGCTTGCCAACGGTCCAAGACCATGGTCAGATGTGCTTTTTGGTGGAACTGGCATTTCAAATGCCCCGCCCTTCGTGCTCCCCTGAATCCGGCGGCGGAAGATCTCTTTCTCGGCTCAGGCGAAGACTATGCAGTGGCCATCTCGGGCCTCGGCTACAATCTTTGCGCTACGCTGGGATACGAGGCATGGTCCAGCTGGTGCTGGTGGAACCAGAAGAGGTAGGTCAGGCAGCGTGAGGTATGTCTGGCTCATGAAGACTGGGATGATCCAAGAGATCGGTGCTTACGTTCACTTTGATAGTCTTTGCTGAAGAAAACCGATGCCGCATCGATGCTTTCTGCGCCATGGCTTGCCACGACGAAGATGAGCTTGAGGAGGTGGTTGGACAGCCGACGACGGGTGTAGTTGAAGCTGATTTGGATGAAAGCATATGAAGAAGCATTAACAATCATCAACAGATTCTTCTGAGGAATATTTATGCTGTTCCAGGTTTTACCTAGAAGTACGAACTAACTCTCAAACGAGCTTCTGTCCCGGCAGCTTGGATCTGGACTGGATCAACAAGTTCCAAGCGAGCCAGGCACTTGGATGTCCCCTGGTGAACTTCCTCGAAGCCCTCCCTCACTTCGAAGTTCGCTATGGCGATGAGGCACAAGTTGGAAGAGTCTCAGGAAAGAAACACTTATATAACAGGATTTCCATGATTTTGCAGTATAGGATTTTCATGGATTTTCAAGAATTTTGCTTGTTACCACAGGTACACACAGATACCAACACTTGTCCAACAAGGACAGTCTTCAAGGGACCAATTCTTTGGCTTTCGTCCCTCTGCTGAGGGGGAAGCCCGTGCTGTGATGCGGCCAGAGCCGACGGAGGAGCTAGTGCAACTTGGAGCCGACGGAGCCGCGAAGGGTCGGCGGAGAGTGGCGGAGAGTGAATGCCCTTTGCTCCGTTCGTAGCTTCTTGCCCCTAGTAGTATGATGGCCAGGAGCCCCTAGTAGCTTCTTGCTACTAGTAGTAATGCCAGGAGCTACGAGTAGCGCCCTGGATTCTCAAATGTTGACGATCTGCAGAAGTTTCTGTTTCCGGTCCTTCTATCGATTTGATCAAGACGGTGTCTACAAGACAAGAATCATTGCCATTCAGGGCCCCTAGGTCACAGATTCTTGAGGAGGGCCAACCGTTCCACAACTGTTCCACCGTGCCTGATGTGGGTGCATGAAGATTTGTCTCAAATTCAGCAGGTTTCATCAGTTTCATCGATGTTTCCTTTCCCGTTCACCATGTTGATAACCCTTCAAGGAGCTGTCCTGTCGCGTCCGCCGTGGTTCATCCACTTTGGGTCGAGGGACGGGAAGTGCCTCACCTTCACTGTTTCTGAACGGGAAGACTTGTGGCGCGTCGTGCTGCAGGGAGCCCGCGCACAGGTGCGGACGTGCGGACGTGCGCGTGCCTTCGCGGGACGTATGCCCTGGACAAATCACTGGCTGGCTGGCTGGCTGATCAAAGCTGGCGACTATATAGGTCACCGATACTATGGGAATAAGACTTCGAACCATCCTTGTCACAAGGGCAGCAAACGTCTCGAAACATCTTGAAGAACCCAAGAAAAGACCTTGAAAAAGACGATGATGATCGATGATGGCTTTGCAAGATTCATCCATGTGGGCTTTGGGCTTTCGCCAGTCCCGAGCGGAGCCGTCTCCTGCAGTCGTTGGACAGGTGGAGATTCCGGAGATTGAGTTCTCTATACGGCCAAAGGCAGAAAGACGAGTGGATACCATCTACAACATGAGACATGGCGACAATCATGGTCGACTATATAGGTGACATACCTGGTTGAATCGTGTTAAATACATATAATCAATACGGCCCAATGCGGCTAATAAATACATGCTAATGCCACTCTCCACCTGTGCTTCTGTGTCTTGAAATCGAATCAGTGGTTCACTCAAGCAGGATGCAATCATTCTGATCATTCCAACCGGGCTCTGTCTCGCTGCTCGCTGTTGCTTTGCGAGACGGGGAAAGTACACCATAGAAAATTACACGATATACAATGATATACAAGAATATACAATTACAGTATAATATATATATATACACAAATATCGTTGCAATGATATATATATATATATATATGAATCTCCCAGACCAAACTCTCATGTTGATAAGTGACTATCCTGTCCGCCAAGTCAGGATTGCCTCTGCTGTCTTCCATTTGGGCGACCATGTCCAGAAGAACCGACGAATGGGTGGAGCCTTGAGTGAAGAAGACTGCAATAAGATCTGTGAGACCATCGAGCAGCTCAACATCCTGTGCCTTTGCCACAAGATCGAGCTGCTCGCTGTTGGTCGATCATTCCATGTGAGTTTGACCCGGCGATACCTCGATTTCATTGTAATCAATGTCAATGTCCCTTGTGACGCCCCTGTTTTCATCTTGGAGGGAGAACGTCAATGCGCGCAGATGCTTGCAAACCATCCTCGTTTTACAGAACACTCGGGGAAGGGGCAGAAGGCAGACACCTGCGACTTGGATGGTTGCTCCATGTTACTCCAGCTATTCTGATTTGCTGTGGGTTGTCATGGATTTCCAGTATATACTGGGTACTAGTGAGATGGTACGGTGAGTACGTTGCACTAGTCCCATCTTATTGGGGACCAGTATAATATACTTGTAGAGCTCAGAGAAGCTGTTGCTGGTTGCTGGACTGGCATTTTCCTGAAAGCTGGACTTGCCCCTGTGAGGTTAGACAAGGCGGCGGTGCCTCACCATCCACAAACCACGGGCGTCCACTTGTCAGATGATGTCGCCCAGAAGAATGAAGCGGGCTCACAGGCCATTTACACGCATGATGTTTTGCTGGACTTCAAGATTGCAGTCCTCCTTCTTGTCCCAAAAGAGAGTTTTGGACAGTGAGTGGTCTCATCCCCTCTTCTTTGGTTTCGAGTCGGTTTCGAGTCGTCGAGGCGTCTCCGAGTTCAAGCCCGCGGGCGGCGTGGTGTCCACCGCTTGGGATCCTGAAGGCGGCGGGCTTCGTGGTTCGTCCGTGGGGCAGGCCTTCACAACTGCGCCGAGACGTGAGTGTGTCACACATATACAGTGAGATGTGTGTGAGAGACTTGTGATGTTGTCTCATGTGAACGGTTTTGGTCTAAAGTGCTTGGGGCTGAAGTGATGGGCGTGCACCAATGGCAGGTGGAGTGTGGAGTGTGGAAGTACTGAGAGATCCGAAAGGGGTCTCAAAGTCATTTCCACGGTTGGCCTCGGGCCTTCATGATCTTCATGTCCATTCACTTCCCATCAGTCCAAAACCGATTCGACTTCTGCTCCTTGGTTCCGGGCCAGATCCTTCTGCTCCTCAAGCAATTCCTTAAGAGAGAACGATCGAGGCTGGGTGGATCGAATGGACTGAAAAGCGGAATGATTGGGCTGGAAAGCGGACCAAAGGTGACCAGAGGGTGTGGAGACTTTCGAAGGGGGTGAATGTTCAAGCTCGGTTTTTCAGACACAGATGACAAACAAATGGGTTTTCATGGATTCTCCAAGCCTTGATGGGCACAGCTGGTGGCTTTGGCGTATCAATATATTCAGCATATCCCGGTCGTCATGTTCACTTTGACGAGCTGGTTTTGAGCAGTCCTGCCAGGACTTTCGAAACTCGGTCAAGACTCCAAGCTTGGACGTTCTCGATGAGTAGCACAGGCCATGTCAGGTCCAAGGGGACAAGGCTCTCGGTGCGCCAGACGAAGCTCAAAGGGACGCCGCCCATGAATGAGTGGCTCAAGGTTGTACAGACATTGCTGATGCTGCTTGACCTGTGTGGCAAGCGTAAGACGCATGAAAAAGTGCGGGCAGCAACGTGCAGATGTTGACAGCTTAGTGACATCGTCTTCAGACTGTGGGATGTAAGTATTCATCATCAGCATCTCCATCTCCATCTCCATCGCCATCACCATCACCATCATCATCATCATCATCATCATCATCATTTTCATCATCATCATCATCATCATCATTTGCTGACTCGATACACCGCTGGTAGTCATTGGCAGGACCACAGACTCCCCCTAGAGCGAATGACGGATGGACACGAGTGGAACCTTTTTCGCCTCACCAGTCTTCAGTGCCCAACCTAAGTGACTGGAGAAATCCATCCCACCTATATAATGGCAATGGCCTCCAACCTAGTAGCAAAAGGAACCTAATAGCGATGGCCTCCACCCTAGTAGCGATGACCTCCATTGCTAAATGACTGGAAAAATCCATCCCGCCTAGGTGCGCTTGAGCTCCTTGCACCATCGGCGCCAACAGCGCCTGGCGCTTCGGGCCTGGCGCTTGGGGCTTGTGCAGGCGAAGGTGGCACGGAGGGGGAGTCTTTTTTTGGTTTTGTATTGTTGTTTTTTAAATGTTATCAGACAGATGAAATTTCAAGTGCAATGATGGCTGCCTGGTTTGCCACTGTTCTGTGCTGGTCTGTACCAGGCAAGGAAGGCAAGGATGTTGCCCCCGGCTGCCTGACATTTTCCGGGCTCAAAGGAAAAGACGCACTGATTAGTCAAAGCCAGCCGACTACCTGGTCCTGCAGCAAGAGACTGCCATGTTCCAGGAAGCCTTAGAGCAACTGATTCTCCTGTGCCTTGTCGAGGTTTGTAGCAGGTGTGGCTTTGCCCCTTGACTTGGAAGAACAAACATGTTCTTGTTGAGCTCATGGGTGCAAAAGAATCACCACAATGACTCCAAGAAAGTTACTGTAAGGGAAAAGGCAAACCCAGCATTCTTGCGACTGAGGTGCTTGAACCCCTACTTGGAAGGAATCCGTTTGGGCTCCCTGCACAAAGGTTCGGAGCCTCAGCCGGGGGTCGCTCCCTCCTTCCAAGGTGGTTGGGGGATCGCGGAAAGTTGGCTGAGGCATTTGGAATGGCCTCATCGAATTGAAAGAGTTGAAAGTGAAGCCAGAGGCCGGAGTGCGGCGGGGTGCGGCATCGTCAGATGCTTCGAATTTAAACGATTAAACCACCCTTTTCTACACTGCGTTTTCTGCGGTGTTGATCTTGATCTTTTGGGTATACGAAGCTGGAAAAAGGGAGGAGAAGAATCATGCTAAGAGGATGACATTGTGGGATTGCAACACCTGCCTTCACGGAGTCTTAGCTTTTATGCCGAAACCTTGACCATGAGTTACCTGTGATGATGTCAGGTGCTCGCTTTACTGGGAGTTCCAGGGTTCCGCGTCGAGAAGGGACACATCAATCTGATCAGGTGCGGGCCGGGGCAGGTGCTTGGGATTTTCAGGAAGTGAGTGCAACATCATGATCCTGTATCATTTGGTTATTGTATCTTCATGGTACATGATGTCTAAATACACCATTTTCAGAACAGATGGCTCATTCCGGAAACCTAAGCCATGTACTTTGACAATAGGGTATGTTTAACGAAGCGAATCGCTCCGCCTCCCGCGAGCGATCGGCGAAGAAGCAAGATCGATCAGCCGATGCGCCAGGCTGGTGATCCCATGGTCCTCCCTGGCCAGTGGGAAGGTGAGCCTTGAGGTGAGTGGAATTCACATCGAGGCGAGTGATTGGGGATCAGTGGAACGACCAAGGTAGGTGAGAGAGAGGGAGGTTGGTGAGCGAGACAGGTAGTTGATTATGACATGACGAAATCATGATAGCACGATCAAGTACAGATTTTGGATTTTTTTGGATGCCTTCTTCCAGCGTTTGATGGGTTTATGGAGTTGCCATCGATCACAGTGGTCGATCGTGCCATTAGGTGGAGCAAATGGCGGAGTCCCGATCGAAAGAGGAGCTCATCCAATCCATGCGCGAAGTGACTTGTCCTTGGTTGTCCTTGCTCGTCCTCGCTAGGCCCCTTAGGATCTCCCATTGAGAAGGGGCACTCAAACCAAAGCTGCATAAGAGTGCATCAAGCTCTGCGGATGTGGCAAGGCCCAAGGTTCGATGGCAAGTTGCTGTGCAAACAAACGCATAGTAACAGGATGTAGTTTAGGCATTTGTTTAAAACACATGTTGTTTATTGTTTATTTGGCGTTTTCGACGTTCCTTGGGGGGCGAGTCCACTTTCTCCGGGGGCAGAGGCGACGTTTTTGTTTTGTTTTGTCGTTTTCAGCAGCAACCTCCTGGGCCGCTCTGAGGCGAAGCAGCAGGCCATCAACTTGCGGGTGGAACAGGCGCCCGAAAGGGGGAGAAGCACGTTTCGAGGCGATTCAGCCCCAGGGCTTCGAGCATTGACTTATAGTCTAAGTAGCACTCCCCCATCTCTTCCACGCCTATAACATGGCTGATGCAAGAGAGGCTGAGTCCATGAAGGTAGGACCCGTCCCACTTGGATACTTCCGGCCTGATCAGGTCCGCAACCTGCTGGAGCAGCGCCGCAAGGCACTGCGTTCGACTTTTCAGCGTTGATCATCGTTGATCATTCAACATCCTTGTGAATCTTGTTGGTGTGCATTCTCAAAGCGCAGGCCGCTGAAAAAGTGGCTGGGACAGATGAGGGCTTCGGCATGAAGGTGGCTCGAAGGCGCACTGAGCGGGAGAATGGTCAGAATCGTAGTCAGGTCACCAATTAACCAAAGGGCTCTCTTACAAGGCTTTTGCTTCTTCAGAGTGAAGAAACCATTGGGCAACCTGTTTAGAAGCCTCTCTCTCTCTCTCTGTGATGGCAGATTTGGGTGTCCTGTCGCTCTCCTTGGGGTCTCTCGGAGGTTCCTCGGTCGTTTGTTCGGCAGCCGTGCACCCGATCCCCGAACCAGAGCGTCCATACCGTAATACCCATATCCAAACATATCCGAGTTCAACTGCAGTGCCAGTGCCACACTCAACCAAGTCCTGGCAGGTTCATCAACAATGTCACCGTCTCCATCAAAGATGTAGAGGTCAGTGGGGTGTCCGTGTGTTTGAAAGTGTGGTGAAACTGAAACCACTTTGGCCAGGACGCTACTAGGAGCAAAGGGCATCGCTACTAGGAGCAAGAAGCTACTAGGGGCTCCTGGCCATACTACTACTGTAGGAGCAAGGACGCTATGAACGGAGCTTTTTCGAGGTGATCTGTGGCAGGTGATACGGTGATCGCAACGTGTCTTGAGGTCTCCTTTAGCAGCAAAGCCTTGGGAATTGCCACGAGCCTGAAGCTGCCGTAGCTTGGGACAAAACGATGCAACGTGGGTGTTTTGTGCTTCTACCCATGTGTTTCTCCCAGTTTCAGCCACTTGACTCGCAGATTGCAACAGAACTGTAGACCACGGGATGGGCAGCCATCCTTCGAGTGAGAGCAGCCTTTTCAGTGTGGTTGCGTGGTCTTTCGATTGTCACAGGAGCTCAAACTTTGTTTTTTCTTGAAGCGAAGAGAATGATAAGACGAAAGCAAGTGCGTGTTTGGATACCTTTCAGAGTGCTGAGAAAACAAGAACCCATTGGACTTCGTGTTTAGCATGAACAAAGTCCTACTGTATTATGAATCGACACTTTTCTTCCGAAACTATTTTACATTATTCAGAAACTTATTGCATTCTTCAGAAACTATTTTGCACTCTTCAGAACTATTTTCCTTTCTTCAGAAACTATTGTCCATTCTTCAAACACTACTTTATATACATTCTTCAGAAACAAAATTAAGGGTCTGTCGCGGTTAACGTCCCTTGTTTTGTCTCACTTTTTACTCATCCAGGTCTCATCTCACCCTCTTTAACTCCAACTTTCGCGTGTGCGTGGTTTCACCCGCCCATGACAACTCAACCTACTCTACGGCACGTACACTTTGCAATCTTCTTCCCCCTCCGTTTCGGCTTTGTCCCTAGTCCGTCTTCTGGCCAAAATTGGCTTTGCTGTCGTGTTCTTCCTCAACCCCATTGGGACTAATTATATAGCTTTATACTCGGGTACACCCAAGGAATTTGGCGGTGCTCTCCACTGACGAGTCCTTTCAGGAGCCCAAAAGAGTCGCAGCAGTCGAAGAACATGCGACATGCGACAGTCGAAGAACGGGTCGTTGGCAGACCCTGGAAAGACGTTGGGGTGACGATGGACAAAAACACCTTGGATGATTCGAAGTCCCAACACAGACACGCACAGAAACTAGACTTGCAAACGCTGGAGGAGCCCGTGAACGACGAAGTAGTCCAGATTGTGTCTTGCCTGAAGCGGTCACAAACAGAATGCTAGGTCTTCAATTGCCAATCCCAAACGGTGCATTCTTTGATCCAAGTCCCAGGCAGACGATTCGATGTTCAAGGTGATGAGGACGACAGTTGCTGGTGTTTGTGTGCACCGCTGAGAGATTTTGCAGAAGTGGCAACTATGACTATTTCTGTTTGCTTTGCCAGCGTAGCCAAGTGTTTGCCGCTACTAGCCTAAATGCTGACATCTCAATCGCTTGCATCTCTGGGCCAGCCCATTTACCGGCGGGTTTCTGGGTCCTCTGTCACTTCCGGGGACGACTGCAGTGCCCAGCTGCAAACGGGTCCAACTTCTTCGGCCTTCCCCTGTTGGGCATTTTGGTGGAGCCCACTCAGTTGTTGAAGTGGAGCCCACACCGCCCTGCTCCCTTTGAACATCTCATTTCGTCACATGGGGATTGGGATCCCAATGTCGCTGCCATGAGCCTTTCAATGCCAGAACCCCGCTCAATTTATGTGTCGAACATTTCGATCTCGCTGTGAATAGCAATGGAATATAGTAATTGAACAAGGCGTTATCATTTGTTCCTTGTAGGCATTTCAATTCATAGTGCGCAATCAATTGAACGTGTCGAACTCGCGCTGAATAGCATTGCAGATTTGTGGTTTTCAACGTCAGGATCGATGGCTTCTCTCTGCAGCTGTCCTGTGGAGATTTGGGTAGCCTGAAGGATGCCAAGTATGTATTGACCGGGACTTAGTTCACAGTCTGGGTGATGCAATGATGCATAGATGCACCGATCCTCTCAATCGATGCCGAAGGCAGAGACGAGGCGGACTGAATTTGGATGATTGAATTTGATCCTGTTGGAATGCGACATCACGAAGCACATGCAACATCAATAATCTAACCTGCTGGTTTTGGGGACTGTCCCATTCTCACGGTAATTGGGTGCTATATCGTGCTTTCATGCATTGTCAACCAAGGAGTCCCATGAGTACCAGTCTGAAGCTCGCGCATGTGCCGCGAGAGCAGCGTGTCTTCTTGGAGTTGGATTTGGGTGTTGGAAAGATGTCAGAGGCTGGATGGGTCCCTCAGAACGAATCGGGACACGGCGCACGTCGCGTCTGGGCGTTTTCTCCAGCTTTTTGAGGGGCATGTCGCGCAGGAAAGCATGATCAAGGATCCATGCTTGCTTCGCTATGTGTAGACTATGCAAAGCGTGTGCATGTGTGTGTGTGTGTGTGTACACACACACATATATATATAGTTATATAATTACAACGAAGTATGGCTTTCAGACTGGATGCTCAGGACTATCGGCCTTTCCTCGGCGTTTCCCTAAAAGATCTTAAAGCGCTCATGGCGTCCAGCTCATGCGCTTGTCCAGGTTCAGTTGACCAGCTCTCAAGTGAAGCAGCTGCTCAAGGCAGCAGCTGGCCTTGCAGAAGAGGCCCCGTTGTCCGTGGCGGAAGTAGGGGATGATCAACTGAGCTGGGGAGAGTGAATCAGGGAAGCAAACACGTGCAAACACATGCAAACGTGGCACCAGAAGATCGCTCATGGAACGTGGCATCAGGGAAGACCAAAAAGACAAACATGTTCCACGTTCCTGTTGAGACTTGTTTCATTGTTCTGCTCCTTTCGAAGAATCACCCTCGCCAGGATGCAAGACTCAAAGCCTTAATGGTTCCTGAAGAGATTGGACACTTGGCGCATGACGTATGGTAACCTGGTAGTGCTGCCAATCCTCAGTACACCATAGATCACTTGTCGCTGAATGCTCACCCAGCGGTGGAGAAGAGCCAAGGAAGTGCAGCTCTGATCATGGAAGACAAGCTGAAGGCGGAGTATGGTTTGCTCTACAAGCGCCACCTCATGTTCGAACGAAGGTCGGGTTGGGGAGGGTAGACTGGGCGACAGATGGTCCAAAGGAACTTAATCAATATGATGGTCGAGTATAGCGGAAGAAACTTGTGCTGCACAGCTGCACAGACCCAGGCCTTTTTTGGGCCCCAGACGTCCTCCAAAGTAAAGCTTCCCCCAAAATCTAGGAGCCAAATCATTAGTGCGAGCGCTTGTTTAAGGAAGCTCCCCCCCACCGTCAGGCGCTTCCTTGAAGAAGCATGAGCTAGGGTGCGTCCTAGCTAGGAGCATCCTATTGCTAGTAGCTTACTCCCTTACTTATATAATTCAGTAGGCGCCTACTTAATTAAGTAGGCGCGAGCCGCGGGGTAAAAAGACACGATCCCCAGGTTCTTTTAGATTGGGCCCTAGACGGCCCCAGCTCTGACAGACACGGGCGCGTCTCTTTCCAATCACTCTTCTGAGCGCGAATGACTCAGTTTGGTGGTGGATGAGATGAAGCTGACGCCGGACGAAGAGAGGCCGAATGGGAGTGAGAAGGTGGTCGGTGGAGGCGTCGCAGACAAGTTCGGATTGGAGTGAATTGAATGACGCAGCAACAAAGACTTATGAAGGGTGTGGCGTGGATGGCTTCCACAGATGCGATCAGCATCGATCAGCACTGGAGGAAAGAGTCCACCCAGCCCCTTTAGACCATTCAAGTGATCATTACTCATGATGCTCACCAACTTTCTATTTCACGTAGCATATATATATATATACACATACATACACATGGCCATAACATATATATATATATATATGATGCCGCCCACAGCCGCATTTATGGACATATATATATATATACACATACACACGAAGTATATACATACACATATAGTTGGCTATAGTATGCAATACTGTCATCATGTTATATCAAGCTTCATTGACCAGATGTCCTTCTCGTCCGTCCCCAGGCGCCAGCAGCTCTTAGAGGCGCGACCGAAACGGGACTCGCAACGAGACGTGGGGACCGGGGACCTCGAGTTTCACAGACAAAGAAAGACGAACGCCTATGTCTATGGCCCTTTTTGCAATATATATATATATTTAAACAAATCGGATCCGGAAACAGGATCGGAGATCCTTGGAGGATGGAGGGTGATCTCAGGTTGACTCAGGTTAGGTACTTGATCAGAAAAACACCAAAACGGCGAAACGAGTCCATACATCAGGAGCTTTTAAGGAAGGCACGCATGTTTGGAGGATTTTGGATAAGTTTTCCTCCATCGTCTAGCAGCTGAGCTATACGATTTTGTTTTTGAGTTGTGTCATGGCCAGATGTTGCCAGATCGTATGCCATTCCGACCTGGGGAGGATGCCCTGCCTGTGGAGCTTCTGGCTGCGAACCGCATTGCAGCAGTGGAGCTTGCGGAGGCCCGACAAGAGCAGATGCCAGGCAAGAGGATGGAGTCTGATGGGATAATGGGAATGGTGTTTGCAATTGTTGGTTGTCCATTTCCCACCAAAAGAATTGGGACAAGGTGAGGGCACACATGCCACAATCGATGAGAAGGCTTTTTCGACAAATCCTGGGGAGGGAAGGGGCCACGCGATGCCGACGTGGACAAGAAGCAACGGTTCTGAGACCCCAAAGCTACAGTGTGGTACATAGTTTCATGTGTTATATGAGACGAATCAATGACACTTGCAAATCTTTTGCTTCGTCTGTGCAAAAGCATGTTTTGGCTACCCTGTCACCGGCCAACGGTGGGTTGGTCTGGTGTTTGGTCCGCAAAGCGTTCGGGTCTCAATGTTGGAGAGCTTCTTCCCTTTGAGGATCCGATGTAGACAACTTGAGACTCCTTTTGAGACTCTTTATGGTACTCGGGTGCTCCATGGCATCTCCCTGGCCTGTGTGGTTTTTCCTGAGACCGCCTTGACTCGGAAACAGCTGCGCAAGCAGCTGGTCCCAGGCTTCTTCAGCCAACTTTGGGGCCGCTACTTCTGCTGTGTAGCCACCACAAAAGCTGGTGGTGTGGGTATGGAGGACCGGGGGTCGGGACAACATGAGACAACCATAGAAAACCAAGAACCACCCGAAAGCCAGAGGCATGTCCTTTGCTCCTTGGCTACTTGTAGGTAGCCTTCGCATGTTGAGTCTAGGCTGGATTCAGATTGTGATGTTGCTTGCACAATTGGCTTGGCATGCTGCAGGTCCTGCAGGTATAGCTTATTATAGCATGCATCAAACACATACATACACATTACATACAAATATTTGATATTGTCTTATATACAATGCACATTCTATACATGTTTCCTTCCATTTCCCCCCTTCAAAAAGGAACCAACAAGAAAAACACCATGTAAACCATGTAGAAACAGCAAACCTAATTGATACCGTTGGTGGACGCCTCCGGATCTTCCCCGAACCCTCCTTCGAAGGAGCTCCAAGATGCCACGGAGTTTGAGGCGGTCGAGGCCCCGGCCAATGTCCTCGCTGAGGCCGGGGCTCCAAAGTGACTCCGGGAGGGAGGGACATGTTCATTCGAGTTTTCGAAAATCTAAGAACGGGACATGAAAAAAAGCGAAAGGTGGGGGGTGTTCCAGAACCAAAGCCCTGCATGAGCCTGTTTGAGGGCTTTTGATGCACTGAACGTCAAGAATCTGACTTAGCAGGACCTTGGCCATTTTAGGTGAAAACGGGAGCCAACAGGGGCGGGAACTGCAATAGAACTCGTGAAGACGGGGAATGTTCCAGCCTTCGTGGGAAAGGAAAGGACGAAGAAGGAACGGTCTAAAGGTCTATCTAAAACAAAAGGGAGACCAAAGACCAAAGGAAGAAGGACCCCCAAAAAAGGACAAACTCAAAGTCTCAAACTGAGACGTTTCTAAAGGATCTAAAAGGCGATTGCGCTTGCAGCGCTTTCTGAGTCCTAAAAGTCTCTATCCTTTGTCCATGATCAAACTGAGGTCCGCTTCTCGGACCTCTCCGTCAAGCTTCACGACGATGCGGAGGAGGAGACGAGCCTGCTCAGAAAGGCGCCACACGGAGAACGCAGACATGGGCAGGTCCTGAGTCCAGACAGGTCCAGTCACCATTGCCAATGTGCTGATATGGTTTGATGTTGGTTTATGATGGTTTATGGTTATGGTTGTGAACATGCAACGCAAGCATCATGGAGCCACCAAAGAATGAATGCACTGCCACCCCTCCAAAGGCCTTCTCATTCTGAGACACTTGAGGTCTTGGAGCTCTACGTCTACAGCACCGAGTTCACGGCTGCAGTGCAGACGGGGGTGGATTACCGGGGGAAGTCTTCGGCCAACCTCCGTGTAGCAGGCCGGTCCGAGAGGAGGGGGTTGGAGGGGGAGGGGGTTGTGCAGGTGTGATGCTAGATGTGATAACTGGCTTGACGTCCACTGTCCTGCTTGGTGGAACCTGTCATTCTAAGTCCTGGATACTGAAGACCAATTTCAGCAAGTTGTGTGGGGGCTTCAGCAGGCGGGCCCAAAGCTTCCAAGGCAAGCCTGCCAGGCTAAGACTGTTGCACTATGTTGCACTGCTCCATTTTTCGACATGGATCTTCCCGCTCAGATGTGCTCCGCATGTTTTCTTTCCGGTGCAGGCTCCTTCGGTGGAGTTGAGGCACAACATTGTGGTGACGATGTGATCAGGAGCCGTCGAAACGGGGTCAGTGAAACCGGGCAATTGACTTGCTCAGTCACCTTTTTGCCCTTTGGCGCTTTGATATAATAAGTACGTAGTAGACCAATGAGAACGCCCTGGACCCTTAGCTCAAGAGCATGCACGCGTGGATCCATACATTCAGATCACTCAGAATTCTGAAACTCTGAGTGTGCACGCATGCAAGCATGATGCAGCACTCTCAAGTAGATGCAGTGAAGGAAGTGTAACTGGTAGACTCGAGCTTGAACTTGGACCCGTTTTCTTCACATTCTTCATCATGATGTCTTCGTTTTCAACTGCAGCTATTCGTAGACAGACCTAGGGAGCCAGAGTCAGTTTCTGTTTTGCTGTGGAGGATCCGGACGGAGGATGAAGAGAGAGGAAGTGCAGCCAAGTTCGCCTTGGAAAACAGGTTGGAAGAGACCTGCAACGTTTTGAGCCTTGTCCAAAGAATGGTCCAACTTCAATTTACTCGTGGGGTTATTCATGATGTTATGCCACTTGTTGATGATTGTTGATGTTTTTCACTTTGGTCCAAAGTTAGTAGGTACCGTAGCTTGGACAAAGACGGAATCTACCACTGCACAGGATTCTGCAACTAGGATTCCGCAACTGGGATTCCGCAGCTGTCTTGATTCCGCAACTGAGATTCTGCAACTAGGAAACTGCATTGATTCCGCAAACGGAATTCTGCAACTGTACCTCGGGTAACTAGGGGTTCTGAAACTAGAGTTCTGAAACCGGATCAGGAATCAAGATAGTTGCAGAATCAAGATTGTTGTGAAATCCGAGTTGCGGAAACAAAACAGTTGCTTGCGGAATGCTAGTTGCAGAATATCAGTTCCGAATATGATTGTCCCCCCCAACCCTCTCAACACCCCCGTCAACCCAATCCCCTCTGTCGATATTGTGCTTTTTGTCGGATATTGTTTTTGCTGAGACAGTTGTGGAATCCCAGTTGCGGAGTTCATAATCCGACCGATTAGTTTCAGAATCTGCTTCTAATCTATCCCCAGTACCTTCCATGTTGAGTACACCTGTGCTATTTGCAGATTGGCACGTCGAAACCATATCCAAGTTCGGTGGTTCCTGTGCACCAGTGGAGCCCGTGCGATTGGCGCCCCTTGCATCTAAGGTCGGTCATGCTGCATACCGCACCGCTGGATGTGAACTTTATCCCCAGCAACTGGGTCAAGTTGATGACACATTAACAATCAGATACTCCCACCACGATCATGCTGGTGGGAGGAATCCTATACATCCCAAAGGGAACCCTTGATTGTCATTGATGATGGGCCCAACTTTCACACAAGTTTCAGTGTGCAAGCCACTCCATGCCCCTTAAGACTTTGCATGACTTTGCTTCTTCTCCACAATGTCATATCAAGCCCTACTTATATATATATATAAATATAAATATATATATATATATATGCCATCTCAATTTGATCCTCCCAGGCATGGTCCCCAAGTTGCTGGAAATGCTACAGCCCCCTGAGACCGCAGAGCCGTCTGCGGTCGCTGCGCCCGGCGACCTGCCTGTGGAGCCGGTGTCGCCCACCTCGCCGGTGTCACCGGTTAGCCGGGCGGTGCCTGGGCTGGAAGCATCATCAACGGAATTAACTTTGGTGGGGCGTGCTGATGGATGGGTGTATACTGATTATACTGTATATATATATATATATATTTGCAGGCAGTTCTGTGCTGGGGATGCAAGTGGGAGGATGCTGCAGAATTAGTGAGGCCTGAAATGCACATTCAGCAAGCTCAACATTGCAGAGTTTTTGGGGGCTAGGTCTCAGGGTCGTGCTGCGGCTAGGCAGGCATTATATTCAGTATATTCACATCACATGGAATCGCGGAATGCACATAAAACACTCCTTAGGATGTGGAGAGTGTATGAGTTTCGACTGTAATGAATAGTTCTAGGGAGTGTAGCATGCACATCACAGATTGTCCGTGGAATGCCCATGAATCCGCAGACAAACACAATCGAATATGGACGGACGGACGGACGGATGGATTGATGGAAACGGTCCAGCAAAGTTTCGCATCATCAATCATATGTCATCCACTCACAACTGTCCGTCCGGCCTTCGTCAGTCTTTGAGGCCAGCATGACGCAGGACCAGGGGAAGATCGATCCATATCGATCCCATTTGTTGGTCCTGCATCTGAGCTCCTGTTACCAAAGGGACTCAGAGATGTCTGATTCTGTACCTATATAATTATGTGCAAGTAGGTGCAGGCTCGTTTGGTTTAAGCTTCACAGAATTCTCCATTTTATGGTCGGGCATGCAGCGCCTTGGGTTTCTACCCTTTAGGAGGAAGGCCCAGCCTGATAGCAGGATCCATGACCCTTCAATTTCTTTAGAGCTTCCAACACTTGCTAGACCTTTATCCTTTCTCTGCGAGAATTTCCAAGATAGCTATGCCAAGCATGGGAGTCACGTGACTTCGAAGTCATTTGCACCAGGAGGCTGCTGTCCATGCCTTGTTGGGGAAGGAGGGCGACGTGGCACAGTATGCGGATGCGGCGTTCGATCGAGCACCCGACCAAGTGAACTTGGACGTCATGTTGGCAGCGCCACGGATTCACATCCCAGTGAAGGACTGGGATCACATTGTCATGTGGAACTGAGAATGATGGAAGTGATCAGCACATGACACATGGACAGAACTCGAGTGCTTGTCTCATTTCAGAGTTGATGAAACTGATGAAACTGATCAGAGAAATGCCTTCCTCTGCCAGGACTTGGGATCTGTGACTGTGAACCTGGGTTCCATGAAGATCTGCACACCAGAGCGATGTTCCATGAAAGCGGTGAGGCCCGGCCCCAAATGTGCACACCTTGAGGCTATTGGTCTTCTGAAATCAGCCATCCAAAGCCCCAGAAGAACACCCTCGTTTTGATAGTTTTTGAATGTTTTTGATTCCTTTCAGTTCTAGAGCTGCAGCCTGAAAAACTTTAGCTTGATCTACGGTGAAGATGAATGGCTACCAGGATGGAGCTTGCATTCGAAGACACCATGTTGATGGTGGCGACCAAGCGGGCGCGGACTGAAGAAATGAGAAAGAGAGAGAGAGATAGATAGATAGATAGATAGATAGATAGATCGATGGATGGATAGATAGATAGATAGATAGATAGAGACGGACGGACGGACAGACAGATGCAAACCCTAGTGTCCACATGTTGTGGGTTCCAAGCTTTGGAGGGTTTCAATCTTGGCTTGGTCCACAGCTTTGCGCTTTCATTGAAAAGAAGCGGAGATAGACACGGATTGATGAAGAGCCTGATTCGACCATAGCCATGGCCAAAGTTGCCAGCTTTTAGCCAGGAAGAGTTCAATGTCATCAGCCCTTTGCCCATTGACATCAAGCTGAATCATTGTGAAACGGACGATGCTCTGACGGAGCCTTGGATGAAGGGTGTAGCGGAGGAAGCTTCTTAGGGTCTTTTGCTTGGGATGTCATGGCCAAATCCCCAAGGTTCGGAATCACGAAAAGCAGATCCTTCCCCTCCCCTTCTCGGTGGTCGCCCAGGCGGAACTGGGCCTCACCACCGGCGACCTGACACTGGTGGCAGCGCCCCAGGCGCTGGCGGTGCTCGCCAAGCTGCCGGATGTATTCGCCGAGCTGGCGCCGGCGGAGCAGCCGGCGGAGCAGGTGGGGAAGGGTTGGTGACATTGGTTTTTGGATGCAAAAGGTGTGTGACTTTCTCTCACTGTCAGGTTTGTACTGAAATCATTCCCAAAGTTGCGATCCTTGGTCCAGGTGCAGATCACTCTGGCCGAGCCCACCGAACAGGTTGGAGATCCAGAGCATAGAAACTGGAGGAGCCCCGTGTGCAGGAAAGATAGGAAAGCGAACGTTTCCATGTTCCTTCAATGGGGTACTGCACTCTTTGTCTAATTTAAGTGACGCCTCTTTGAAAAAAGGGAGTGCACGACAGAAAGGCAAGGGTGTCAGAGTGAGAAGAAAAGAAAGCAGGAATGGAAAGGAAGAGATAACAAAGGACACGCACACACATAGATATATATATATATATATATATAATGAGAGTTATTTTGTTGACATTGCCAGGGAGTGACCCCCTTTTTCAGGACCTACGTGACGTACTACGTAGCTGTGACCCCTGCTTGCCTCAACTGTTCTCAGGTGGATCGTTCGAAAATGGTCAGCGAGGTGGCAGAGAAGTCTGAAGCCGTTCAAGCGGCCACCCAGCGTGCCAAGGAGTTGACGGATGCTGGGCGCGACCATGGGGTGGGTAAGGCCTGGAACTGGGCGTGGTTACGAATGAAGAGAGCCGGCGGAGGTTTTTATTCGGTATTTTGGAGAGAGCACAACTTTGAGCAGCACATCCTTGCTGAGGAAAAGCGCTTGAAGGTGAACCTCGTGGCACGCACTGGCAAGCTCGAAGTGCTACTCGATTCCGAAAGTCCTTCAGTCTCCAAGCACCAGGTACCCAAAGAGAGTCCCTCAGTCTGACTCAGTCTCTCCAATCCTCCCAAAAGTGTAATTGTTTTCAAAAGGAACGGGTTGGTCCAAGCTTCCAACGGCCGTGCGGGTGCCGGGTGGCGGGTGGCAGTCCCGCAGTCGCTACTCAGGGCGGTGTTGGATTTGATCCATCCTGTCCTTACCCTTCAGTCCAGAATCCTGGAGAATGGCATCGAAGTGAAGCATGAAAGCTCCATGTGGCCAGGATGCAAAAAGTGAAGATTAGTTAAGTTTCTCTCAGTAAGAGACAGAAACCAGTTTTTACACTTGCATTGCAAGAAAGGAGAGAGTCAGAGAGAGAGAGAGAGAGGAAAGACCCGCGCACCTAAGCTGATTGCAAACCTGCAACAACGCCGCAGGACAGGCCAAAACATGAACACCAGCGTGAACATGAACAAGTTGGCTTTGGTGGCGTATGCAAGGACGCTGCAGACAGGGTCAGTTTTGCAGTCTTTGTTGATAGCCTTTGACCGTCGCCTGCAAGAGGCAAAGAGTAGTGACGGCATTGTTGTCCGGACAAGATTTGCCAACCTTTGGCTGGCCCATCCCACATGCGCACAGACTCTACAAACCAGACAAGGTTGAAGACTGGTTCTTTCGAAAGCATCGAAAAGCACTGAGGAGGCTAGAAGATTGATGCACTGAAAAATCAATCAAGACTTGGATGGAATAGGGCAAATCACCCTGGATCACTTTTTGCACAGGAATCCCAGTTCACACGAGTGGGAGCCGTTGCTGGAACCCTTCCACATCGGCGCCTCATTGCAGCTGCTTGGAGACACCGCACTGGTTTCAAGCTTTCAACGACTTTCCGCACGTTTCGACGGATGCTTGTGGGCTTCAAGCCCAAGGATTCGGTGAAATGAGACAGTTGGAAAAGGCACTCGGTTTCTCCGTTGCAAAGAACAACATTATAGATAGAGAAAGAGGCACTTGCTGTTTTTCGCTTGCCGCTGGCGGTAAGACCAAGTCGGATTGGTTCATTTCAAGTCATTAACCACCACCATAGTGATACTGATCAAGTATCTCTTGTTGAGGCACAGGCTTGGTGCCCACACTTCTTGGAGTTACATGCTTTGTTCTTGTAAAAAGAGACATGAGATATCTTGAGATGGGTTTGACTTGCATGCATAAAACGGGATCAAACAAGAATGTTTGCGCACAATTTTTGCCAGAGATCAATTCCTTTCATACAAATTAAAACACACCGCCCTCTTTTTCTCCATTGCACGGCTTGATGCTTTTGGCCTTTACTTGGGCTCCAAATGTAGTCGTGGCTTCTGTCATACTGGTGTTCAATTACTCACTCTATCTGCAGAAGATTGCAGAAGATGTGCCATTAAAGCCCTGTTGTCCGATCCATCCCAAGCGCGGCCCACCAAGGTTGGAATCGGTGAAGGAGGGCTCCGATGCTCTCTCAACCAAGCTGCCTGGGAGCCCGGCTGAGATGCTCTCTTGATTGGTCTCTGAAGCAATCCGGATCGCACGTGTGGTCAAGTGTTGATGAGAAACGATATGGAAACGATGAGAAACGATTCTCAATCAGTAATCATCCATGATAATTATCCAGAGGATAATATCCAGTGATTCCATCTTCTTCCCATGCCGGGTCCGGTCTAACTGGACCGATCGCCTGAATCGGAAGGCACCGAATCGGTCTGACTGGACCGTGTCGGTCGCACCGCTTTGACGGAGGTCCTGCATGGCCCACAATCCGCTCTTGTTGAATGTTGCAGCACCATCGCTCTACAGGCTCTTAGCTCCGAAGGATGGATGGATGTGGAAGGAGAAACCACAGTGACCTACAAAAGGATCAAAAAGGGAGTTTGCTGTTCACTCCACGGAGAAGTGTAGGGTTCTTGAACATCTGAGATGTGCTCAGGTCGCGAAACCAGTTTCTCTCTCACACCGTATCATTCTGTCATTTGGTCTGTTTGGAACACCTTGCACATACAGTAGAGAAACATAGAGGAACAGTAGAGCTAGCTGTCTGTCTAAGCATTGTGTCTGGGAGGCGCAGGGAAGGTGCCACAATGGACCAATGGACATACTCGCTGGATAAGTACATCATAGTATATTTAATAGTTCCCCATTGGGTGAACAACCATTTCGATCAATCCGAGAAGCTCTCAAGGTTTCGACGCTCCTCAGTTCCGAAGGCCTTTGTGACCTCTCCAGGTTGGCTGCCTTGGGGCCGATTTTTGCTGCCAGCCTGGGTGAGGGGAGGTTTGCGGAGAAGACCCGCTATCGCGCCTCGTCCCGCCTGAAGACGCGGGAACCATCCGGTATGCGGTCTGGCTGGGGCTGAAGACTGCAGCAGTAGGTCAGCCACATGGACAGTGTGATTTGTTGAAGATAATAATGATAATACCTCCTCAAACAGGCCACATTGTGACCTGCCAGCAACAAAGAGCCTGCCTAATAATGCCCGCAGGACTTATCTGGTAGCCTTAAGAGATATTCTTACAGCCACAGACAGGGGGTGGACAAGACATATATTTTTGCATTTTGTGTTCGTTTGCATCATCTTGTTTTTTACACGCCCGCCGCCACCTCTTTTTTTATGCAATTGCCGGACTCTTCATCAGGAGTGTTGATATGGCATGCAAGTGTTTCCACGGAGGATTGTGAGCCAAAAGGATCCACAAACAAATGGGATGCCGTTTCTCTTCTCATTTGTCACCATTTTTTTTTTGAGGGAGGGGGTAGGCCGCTAGAGGTAGTAGCTAGAGGTAGCGAGTAGAAGAGGTAGCTACCGCCTACAAGTAGCTTAAGGGGGAGGTAGGGAGGTAGCTAGTAGCTCAAGTAGCTACTACTTAGGACGCAGGATTGCTCGTGCCTCTTCAAGGAAGCTCCCCCCACCGCCCTGAAGGCGGCGGGGGAAGCTTCCTTGAAGAAGCGCTCGCAGTAATGACTTGATTCCTACATTCTTAGGGAAACTCAAGTTTGAACAAGTTGCGGATGTTATGTCTTGGAGACTGGGACCCCCGGGACCCCCCGGGTGTTCATGTTGGGCTGACCTCAGGCTTTTATTCTTGGCTGCTCATCCACAAACGGGCACACCGTGCTTGACCGGGCAAAAGCAGGTAGCCCTGACCAGGTAGACCTGACCAGCCTCCCGCAACCTCGTTGATCCCCAGGTGCCATCAACCTCTCGGGTCGGCCGTTACAACTCCATTTCCTCGCTCCATCCGGGCAAAGCCGGAGCAAAGAGTCACGTGGCATCCGGTCGGTCGGGACCCGTGGACAGCCGACGTTTGAAGGGCCTGGGCCAAGGAGCTGCCAGTCAGGAGGGTCATCATCATCGCTCATGTTTGTTCCGGAGTAGTTCCAGGATGTTCATCAGATTGGAATGGCCAATGACCACACTGCTAGCTCCAGTGTCCATGCCGAGACACCGTCCCGTCACAGGCATCAGGCCACGTCAGCGCAGCCCACCCTTCAGGTGGAAAACATGGGAGTTTTGGGCCAGTGTATAAACAGATAGAAAACACGATATATATATATATAAATACATAGTATATAGAGGGCCTTTATTCTTTATGAATCCTCCTTTGCCTGCAACGAATGTTGGCGAGACATTTCGTGACACGACCCCTGTCGGGCACTTGTTCGCTCACGACCCCCGACATCGGGCACTTCGCAAGACCACCTGGACTTGATGGGCAAACAGATATGTATTGCCCACTATTTCCAAAACCATCCACACCTTCGCATGCCACACCCAAAGGACAGCAAAAAACGCATGCTAAACGGGCCCTGCCCAAGAGGTCCAACAGGAAGTCAGTTTCAATGGGTCTCGAACTGGGCGCCTTTGCAACGGCAGCGGAGCTGCGAGCCGGCGAGGTTGTTGCCGGATGGCTCGGAGGTCTCCCTGGAGGCCCCTCGCTGAAACCGTGAGCTCACCGGTGGAAGGGAGGTCTTTAGAGGAGGTTCATGAGGTCTCCGGCGACCTCCCTGGAAGGGACAGACAAAATAAGGTGACACATGATGAATAAACTGGATGGTTTGTGGGGACGAGATACAATTGACCGTGCATGTTTTTGTTCTCTGAAGCATCTCAAGAAAACTCAGCAGGTGTTTTCAATGGCTTGGGTGACATTGAGCATGGCAACATCGTGTCGATCGATGTTTTGCCCTTTTCGAAACAAGAGTTCTTATCCACTTGCCACTGCAAGTTGATGTTTGACCAAACCCCAAGTATGTCATTGCAAGATTATTTACTGAGATGAGATGAGATGTATAAAAATGACCAGTGTCTAGATGCTTTTGTGTCGCTTATTATGCTTGATCGCATCAAGCCTTGAGCTTGGCTTTGCTCCGGCCTGCAGGACGAAGTCTTGACCTATGGGGCCAGCGAAATCACCGTGACCTTGAAGGCACCGTTCGTGCCATCTCAAGAACTTGACCACAACAAGATACTTGTTTTCTTCGGTCCTCGTCGCCGCCGCCGCCGTCGTCGTCGTCGGCGTGGTTCTTGTTGTTGTTGTTGTTGTTGCTGTTGCGGTTGGGCTTGCGGTTGCGGTTCTTGTTGTTGTGGCGGCGGCGGCGGCGCTTTGTCGCGCACTTTCAGGGAGAGGAAGCTTCGGAGCCGCTCTCAGTGGAGAGTTGCCATGCCACGGAGATCCCGGGGACTTTCTGCGTGGCGGAGATGTTGATGCCGGAGCCAGGCCGGAGTAGCCAGCGCTGGGGGTAGCCGTTCTGAGGCATAGCGAGTGAGTCAGCCCAGGGTTTTAGACAATGTGTACGATGTACTTGGCATCCCAGGCTTTTCCTCAAGTCTATATAAAGTATGACCTTGATCCCCAGTCTGTCCCAATATGCCAGATACCCAACCTGCTATGTGCGACCACTTGCAAAGCATCTGGCCTAAGATGGCCCTAGGCACATCCCTTGACCCACAGAGTTGGATGTTGGGCCAACCACATGAGCACATTGTGAGTTGAGCTTCAATGCGCCCGAACAAAAGTGGCTCTCTATCGAGTGTATCGAATTACCAGTAACAGTCAGTAAAGATGATCACTATTTTGGGGAAATGTCTTTACTAACCATCATCATCATCATCACCATTTGTTGCTACTGGTCATGGGATATGCCGATATACCCAAGCTCTCTCTATTTGTTCAACTAAGGAGCTATCTGAGTGAGTGCATGGAGTGCATAGCAATTAGTTCTTGTGTCCTGTGGAAGATATTCGCTTTGGCTTGGCACCAATTTCCTCCAAGAATATCCAATATAAAAGTAAATATACATTAATATTTGTAAGTATTTGTCATTTTCTGAGGATCTAAACGGATCTAAACACAAAATACATGCAGTCGATGTAGGTGGGCGGCCCGATGGGTGGCAGACAAATGCCTCCATGCCACGCGCAGAAGGTTCTTTTTGCTAACTCAGTCGTTTACGAAAGAAAAGAACAAGTGCATCGCTACTAGTAACAAGGGCATCACTACTAGTGACAAGAAGCTACTAGTAGCGATGCACTTGTTACTAGTAGCGATGCCCTAGCTACTAGTAACGATGCACTAATGTCCAATGTGACGATCTCGCCAGGTTGCCGCACGCTCCTTTTGGCCTCGCCCTTGCGAGTGCACAACACCTGCGACGTGCCACTGGAACTGAAGGTCCGCAACGGTCAGCAGGCGGGGAGAAGAGGGCAGCAGGTCTGGCGGCAGCAGAATGGTCGGCGTCCCTGTATTTATTGATCTATTGCGTCCCTGTATCTGTTGATATCCACAAGCGTGAGTTCTTGCTTGTAACGACCGCGGACCTAACTGTGAACGTGCAGAGTGAAACTGTGGACACAGTTCGCTTTACGAGGCCAGAGGGACCTTCAGCTGCAATGCTGCCTTCCTAGGTGCGCAGCTGGGGCAGGACTAGACTGATTTGAGAAGAAACATGAACAGCTCGGCGGTTCTGGATTTCTTTCATATCGGATGAGGGACAAGCTGGGATGATTGGGATGGCAATGCTTCGTTGCCAGGAAACGAGGCTGTGCTACTGCTATGGCTTTCAAGCTCAAGATACAACATCGAACACATGCTCGCAGAAGTAGATTTGTCAACAACATGCTATGCCATGCCTTTACCCACAAGACTTGTTAAGGATGAGGAACTCCCTAAGCTGCACATGTGCACACAGCCTTCCTTTATTTCTTGCTTACCATACCTTTCTCAGAATGGTGCTGACACCAAGCCCGCGTCCTTTGTGTGGGCTTTGCCTAGCCTATAGTATAAGTACTATAGATGACTATAGTGGTCGGGAGAGGGATCAAAAAAACACAAATAAGGATCAATTAACAAACAAATAGGGTCCCCAAATAGATAGAAACGGTTTTAGTAGCGATGCCAGGAGCCTAGTAGCGTCCTTGCTCCTAGTAGCAAGGCCAGGAGCCCCTAGTAGCTTCTTGTTACTAGTAACGATGCCAGGAGCCCCAATACATTTTGAAAGGGATTTTACATTTGTATCTATTTGGGGTTCTATACACTCTCCAGGCGAAGCACCTGCAGCTTACGCCGTGCAGAGCAACCTTCGTCCCAGAGACCTCGCCTCGAAAGCAGAGGACACCTGTTCCTTGGGCCTTCAACGGATCTTCCCCGTGTGGTGTGGTAGGTATCGGTATGGGTTTCAAGTTATTTTCTGATCACGCGGAAGAAAGCATGAACAAACACATGCAACAACGACATACAAGATTGTCCTCCCTTGACTATTTCGTCCATTCTCTTCAAGGCATGCTTGCCGCTGCTGTTTGTTACTAGCCATCACATTCTGCTAACAATCCTTGCTTTGTTTCTGTGGTTTGTGACTGGACTCATCACGTTGTCAAGGTCTTTTGATGCCGAATGAGACCTGGCCAAAGCAATCCGTCCAAGAGGAAGGACATGGACAGATGATGTTGCCGAGTTCGATGGTCTTTTTTGGAAAACCATTTCAACAACGCAGCTTTTCATTGATTGAAGATGGCAAAGTGATCTGCTGCTCGGATTCAGCTGCAAAAACTCCTCACTGGAGCTCCATTTCAACTACACTATCTCACTATGCGTTTGGAATGAACCATTTTTCACAAATAACTTCCCTCCTCGAGGCAATGTAGGCTCAAAGGCATCGGGAAGAGTTCCACGGCAACGACAGGTGTCGGGCCTGTTAAGCATGTTTTGCATTTAGCAGGGAAAGTTCGAATCACAAGTACTTGCCTTGACATTCTAAGGAGATTCTTGCCGTACCAGAATTTGCCATTGAAAAGGGTGATGCTCTTCGAGCGGATCTGCTTATGCGGCCGTTCGCGGAGGGCCACGAGTTCAGTCGCTCAGCGCTACATTTCAACAGTTTGACAAGCCTTTGGGACTGTTCTACACATGCAGACACACACACACACATGTAATTATACATGTAGCTCGGAAAAGAACTTTCCTCCTCTCTGAACACTTCAAACACGCCTGAATCCCCAAAATCTAGGAACCAAATCATTAGCATGAGCTATCCAGCGTCCAGTTACTAGAAGCATGATAACAGAGTACTTAATAACAGATGTACATCCTTACTTAAGTAGGTGCCTACTTAATGAAGTCGTTTTTGTTGCATTCTTCAAAGAGTTTTTTGATTTCCATAAGAACCTGTCTCTCCAGGTACCTCGTTCAGCCTCAGCAACCACCTGCGCTCGGAGTCCTACACCTTCCCCGTGACCTGTGGCCGTGAGGCCGAGGAGGCGAGGTCTGAGACGGTGAAGGGGAGTCTGGTTTATGACGGTCACAAGATGTCACAAGCCACTGAGGGGTATGAGAGGGTATGACCATGTATGACCAGTATCTAGAGTCTAGACCGTGTTGTTCCGTTCTCTTTGTTTAGACTCTTAGAATGGGAGTAGACGGAGTCAAGAGACTGGTCTCCTGACTCTGCTCAAGTGGCTTCCTGACCCAGTTTCCTAACTCATAGACTATTCAACGATTCATGCGAGTTGACAGTAGACTTTTCTGTTCGCTTTTGGGGTACGGGACTTGTCCCACCTTGTCACCTGAGTGCTTTGAATGCGAGTCTTCATGGGTACTGACCGACAAACACCAACAGTCACCACTTGAGACTCAGGAGTTTGAGGTTTGGAAGGTCTTAGAAGGTTTGAAGGTCTTGATGATTTGGAAGGTCAACGCAGCAAACACTGCCTTTTCTTTCGTGTCATGGTTCAACGTCCTGGGTCCTGCGCAGGGTCCTGCGTCGTTGCCCCGAATCCTGGGATCCAAAGACAACGGGGGCTACGGCTACATCCAGCGAAAGGCGGCGGGGGCCTTGGAAGATTCATGCGAAGCGCACGGTGGGAGGAGGTGTGAACTGCGACTTGGAGTCTATATGCCATGTGTCTCCTGGCTGCTTCACATCTCAGAAGAGAAATGGGAGAATAAGAGGTTGTCAGCTCTCATAGCACGCAGCCAGCGTCTCCTGTCTCCAAAAGGACAACTCACAGCCAGAGATAACTCACCTCCAGTGTGACACCTTTCCTGCGCATCCTCCGTGACCTCGACCAAACACACATCTCTCGACGCATCCAACATGTGGTGAACACCCAGATGAACATCTGCAGCAGTTGGATGGGTTCGCCGATCGATTCGCCGATCCGATCCACACCGATCCGAGGGCCGCGAATCGGGCCTTCGGGCTCCGTGACGGTAGGGCTCCCGGGTCCCGATCCGAGGATGAAAAAGTGCGAGTGGGAGCTGAGAAGGATGAAGGCCTGCACGAGACCTTTTTGGGCATGCTAAGAGTGAGAGATTGAAGACTCAAGATACATGAGGATGGCAATATATGACAATACAGAAGGTACTCAAGATGAGCTTATTGTTCTAAGCATTCTAATTACTGGCTCATGTACTGGATTGTAGAAGACGATGGGCGGCATTGTGGCACTGGGGCATTGGGCGATCACTATAAGTGCACGACACCCACAAGATAAGCACGGGGAGTTTGGACAAGGTGACGACACCATGATCACATGTAGATGTTTTCCTTGCTTATGTTTTGCTCTCTAGTGGGATGGAGCACGTTGACTCAGCTTGAGTGGCAAACGAGCTATAAACTAAGGCAGGCACAGGTGCGGGGTTGCTCATAGTACTCAGACACCGATTCATTTTTCACTGGCGGGCAGTGGTTTGTTTGAGGGTAACGCGCAGCATTAGCCTTTCGGTGTGTGTGTGTGTGTGCGTCTTGAGTCTTGAGGGCCGTGTTTTTGACATCGTCTTATTCAGAGTCTGTCCGACTGTCCATCTGCCAATGACCAATCCAGGAGTCCGCAAGGCTTGTCGGCATTTTGGCATTCACGTCAGCTATAGTTTTGCTTTCAACAAAGTTGTATCGTGAGAACACTCTGGATTTGTGTAGGCACAAAAGCACCAAAGCCCAAGCCGAAAAGCATTTGTGCGTGTGGACAGTGCTTTGGCAGCAACTGTGCGGTGCAAGGGATGGCCGAACAGTCAAAGTCCCTCCAAAGAGTCCATGTAAACTGTAAAAGACTGTGATTAAAGACCCTCAGCTCCGGAGCTCTTGCTCATCAGTCTGACAAACCATTCATTTGCTGTACCGAAAGAAAGACATCGTTGGTATATAGATGTTTGTAGAGCAAAAGTGCAAGGCAATGTCAGATACTCCACAAATGCTTTGTTGCGGGGAGGGACCCAAACAGGAACAGCGCATCCTCAGAAAAGGGCTCAGAAAAGGGCCAATCAATGACATTTGCGCTCGATGGGACATCCTTGATGCACGTCAAAAGACTATATAATAAGTTTAACATATTTTATTGCTAGGCTATACCTTAAGGTTTTTCCACCCCTCGCTTCCCTCGCTTCCCTCCCTCTGTCCCTCTGTCCCTCCGTCCCGTCCCTCCTCTTCCAGCTACAAACTGAACTTGTTTTGGACCAGCACACTGCTCGTTTGCTACTTGGACTGTTTCATTCCACAAACATCACTATGAATCTCGAGTACTAGAGGTCTGGGATGGTGACGGATCCTGCAGACGAGGCAAGACAAAGTGGATGTGAATGTGAATTGCAGTTAAGAGTCGTTGCCATGTCTCGATTTGCTCAAATCCTCAACTTGTTTTGGTATGTTTTGGGCCTAGAACTCCCAGGACCTCGTGGAGGAGCTCGACTCGGTCTCTCTCCTGAGTTGCCGGTTGCAGCGAAAAGCCGCTGCGAAGCACTTGCAGGTGGTGAGGCCGGATATGGTGGGTTGCCATGCGTAACGCGCTGCTTGTGCTCATTGGTCGTGGTATGTCTTGGTTGCCTCACCCTTTTGGATCCCTGTGGGGGATCCCATTGATTGGTGTGGTATTTGGAGAACAAGATCAGACAAAAAGATCCAAAAAGGCCAATGGCTGGAGCATGCTGGGACAGTGTGACAGTCACCAATGGCGGTCCAACGACCTGACTCAGGCTCACTGTTCGACCTGCCCTGACCTTGGTCAATGCCGTCCCAGAGATGGACATGAATGTTGGGTATCGCACGCCCTCCAAGGCACGGAAGTCTTTTCAAAGTGCAGAAATTTTGGACGGAATCGCTACCGGGCTAGCCTTGTTTCTGAAGAGCTTGTCAATGTATTGAGCCTATAGCCTACGCGCTAAGGTTGTTTGATCAAGTAAAAAATGCAATCCATTCCCATCCTCTTACCTTGCTTGGTTGCTGATGACTTGTGTGCAGGCCATGCCAAACCTGCTTGATCGCAGACCCTGGAAAGAGGTGCCACTTCCCTCGATGGTTGCTGCCTGAGGATTTGGACTGGCTTACGAAGCCCAGAAAAAGACGGTCCGGGAGATCTTAATATGGTGCCAGAAGTTTTTGGTGGCAGACCTACTCTGACTCTTGTCAATCTGTCGAGGCACCACGTTTTTTTTGCATTTTGGACAAAGGTTTGAGTCGGTTTGACCTTTCAAAGTGAAGTGATGCCGTCTGTTTTTTGATGGGCATGAGTCGCGTTGACGGTGAGCAGGAAAGTGCAGCCTTACTTGGTTCAGAAGGTTTTGAGACAACTACAAGCTACATCCTTCAAAGGCACAGGGTTTTTGGCAAGCTGCCCACTTGCCCCTTAGGTTGCTGTGAATGTCTATGAGCTTCCAGCGGAAGCACATGACCGGGGCGTGGAGCTTCGCACACACTTGGGCGCCGCCGGCACCGTCGTTGGACTCGACCGACGGACGGGTCCGACCGATCGACGGGGCCAGGCACCGAAGAGGAGACGCCGTGGTCCTCGGTGGTGTTGCTTCGGTCCTCGGCCCTGGAGAACAGCGCGGAGATGCTGGAGATGGATGCCAAATTATCGGCCACAGGCGGGACATGGGACCCGTTGGACCAGTTAGGTCTAAAAGATTCTAAAAAGTGGGTTGGAAGAACGATTTGAAGTCAAACAGGGATGCCTCTTAGATCGAATATGGAATATTATGGACATTTAAAGAACTATGTACAATATGATGGAATACCGCTTTGAATCTCCAACCATGGGTGCCGCAATTCTGGACATTTTGGGCATACAAGATGTTAGTCGAGATGGGCTTCTGGCCAGAGCTTGTTCACAACAGGTGCAGCAGCAGGAATAGTGGCACAACCATTGGGTGCTGGTCGAGTGCGACTGTCATGCCCAAGACTTTTTGCACACCGCTTGGATCTGGCCTCAGTTGTGATCCAAGTCTTTTCTCATAGGAACGTTTGAAGAGGCGCTGTAGATCGGCTCTTGCACGCTTGGGAGAAGCTCAGACAGCTCTCGGACCTCGGACATGCATGTACTTGAGGTTTTGATAGGTTGTGTATCTGATCGGAGGATGCCTTGACACGTATCTAGTCATGGACGCCAGGAGGCAGGACGCCTTGAAACTGTCCAGATTTTTACTTTTTTCATCTTTTTCCAAAAGAGCATTCAACGCAGTGAATTCTGCCAACCTGGAGGGCCAGAGCGACTTAGTGACTTGGCAAATCTTGCCTCCGGTTTTGGTTCCAAAACGCTCGAAGATCGCAGCTTCCCAAGGATGACTTGAAGCCAGAGGAGGAGCTGCAGCTGCTGTGCAATGGTGCACCGCTGCCAAAAATCAATGATTTCACACTGCTTCCAACCAACTGCGAGTCGAAGAAGTGTGAGGTGCCGTGCTGGAATAATACGTGATGCGTTTGATCAATTTGGAGCTCAAGACATTAACAAAGAGCATCGATACTAGAAGCAAGAAGCTACTAGTAGATCCTGGCATTACTACTAGGAACAAGAAGCTACGAACTTAACAAAGGGCATCGCTACTAGGAATATGAAGTGGACTCTTCATCGACTTGAGGTGCATGTGCGGCGCTTTGTGGAGGGAACCCTGAGAGAGATGAAGCTCAACGTGACCATGCCAGCCGCTCGGGTGAGTTCGGTGAGGCGAAGAAGACGAAGAAGAGTCTCTGCAAGGGGGAGCGGCCAAGTGGGAGCGGTCAAGAAATGCAGAGCCTTAGAGATATTGGATGAACATCCACTCAAGAAAGTTTGGATTTAAGATGTTAAAAAATGACCAGGAGTCTTCCCATCAGCAAAGAGGTTTTGTTCCCATGCCGGAACGGCCGGAACGGAAGATCTGAATAGAACAATTGGCCAATTGAGGTCGCCTTCGACACCTTTGATTGCAAGACTCCTTGGGGCACTGGATACTACTGTCACTCGACGAAGAGCAGATGACTGCTATGTAGCAGCCGTTGGTATGGTCGAATCAAGTTGCTCCGATTTGTTAGGAAGAACATGGGAAGAACGAAAGAAAGCACGCAACAAAGCTGAACCCCCCTGGACTCCCTGGACCGCGACTGTCCGGTGGGAACCAATGTCGGTCCTTTTGCCGGTCCGTCGAACTCGAGGCATACAGACAGAGGACTGATTCGTGTCAGACGAGCGACTGTTGTGAGCAATCTTGCGGTCTGACAGGCATACCATCAGGTCCTCAGGTCACTGGTAAAGAGGCTTAGAAGCCATACCGTCCACTGGACGGTCCACCTGGGCTCGCAGGTTGAGATTCGTTGGCTTTTTGTTGATTTGTTGAGGTATCAGTTCTGGATGCCCAGTTCGACTATAATATATTAAATAGAAAACATCACTGCATATCATTTCATATCCATTCATTTTTCTTTTGTCTGATGCCATGCTCCTGGACTCCTGGACAGGACTTGGCTGCAAGCGGCTTGTTGGGTGCCAGTTGCCTCTTGCCCTGTGCAAGAAACCTTGAACACAAAAGAGACAAGCACTCTCAGCTGAGTCTATGCGTGATGTCCGAACCGACTTCAGGGTTTCACTGGTTTTATTCACTATATGTCCTGACCGGGCACCGCCGAGGCAAGGTCTCCACCCTCCGACCTCGTTTGGTGGTCCTGAACGCCTCAGGTGCGAGTGCCGAGTGCGATGGATGTAGGGCACATGGAATGGAGATGGGATGATTTGAGGAAGTTTTGTACACCCGGTGGCTCCTGCCCACCCCCAAGTTGAGGGATGATGGGGCAGAGGGATGATGGGGTTTTGATGAATTTTGGGTTCCAATGATAGGCTTTTTGATAGCCTTTTGTAATTTTCTGTTGTTGATGGTTGTTGCTCATGTTGTGTTCTGCATTGCAGCGGAGCCTGATACCTTGCCATACTGAGCCTGCCAGATGCTGATCTGGAGCTACAAGAACCTGATGGGAGCATCCTGGTGCTTCGAGCGCAAGAGTCAAAACCATGCCACTGGCACATCTCCGAGAAGAGCAAGGACTGCGAAAGAAGAAAGGGTGCTGTAGCTTTATGAAAAAATCTTAGCCAGGGAAAAGAACCGGTAGTCCTGGAAGTCCAAGAAGTGATTGCATACCCCTGACTTCGCGCTGTTATTCAAACAGTTTAAACGGTTCGGTAACTGGAGGCACTTGGAGAACGAACACTCGTCCTGCTCGTCCTGAGTCACATTCTCAAGTATCACTGCTCCTTCACTCTCTAACTTCAGCATTGCAGGGCGCATCTTCATTTCGTCTTCGTCCATTGGAAGGTGCGTGGGTTTGAGACTACCCACGAGCGAACCTTCGCCCGCATCAGCAGCAACCGCACAAGACGCTATACTATGCCGCTATACTTTAGCTGTCTTCTGGCTAGGGGAATTTTTTGTTTCTTCAATGAAGCGATTTTTGCAATGTATTTTATTCACGCAATCCGAGCAAAAGATGCATCGACTTGTCCCCCTTCGCCCATGTTGCCAACAGGTGACTCGAAGGTGAGCTGGTCAGCTGCGATCCCTTGCAGTGAGCAAGCAGCTGGATCCACACCTTTGCTTCTTTCAGCCACCGATGCCCAGCGGCACCAGTTGGTGACACCCTTTTTTAAGACATGAGACCAATCGTTCAAAGGCAACAGCTGGAGTGCAGCTTCCAAACAGCTGAACCAGTCGTTGGGTCTTCGGTCGTCAAGCATCGATCCGAGTATCAGCTCAGCTCAGCTGGTTTGCTGAGGGAAGCTCGAGCCACGTGCCCTTGGTGTGGACCGCAGAGATCGCACCTTCCTTCGGAGCCTTCTCGGTGGTGCTGAAGAGCCTTGGAGGGCCTGGAGTAGGCGCGCGCAGTGCGAGGTCTGGAGGACGAGAACGTGTGGAACATGCCGACATGGAGCCCTGTGGCCGATGACGACATCGAGCTAGCGATGTTTTGACACCCAGGAAAGTGGACTCAAGATTCCATCTCAAGCTGTCATGGTTCTCACATGTTCTCACTGTGTGACAGGTTCGGGCTGTTGATTAGAGCCCCTGATGTTGGTGGGCAAGGGAAGCGCTGCCCGAACTTTGCCACCAAGGAAAGGCTCGATTTTCATGGCATCGAACAAGGCTCAAAAGGCCAACCTGAACATGACCGTCTCTCGGCTTTGAACGAGAGACCGAGCAAACCGCTTTGTTTTGTATAGTTACTCGCATGTTTCTATCACACTGGACTGGCAGGTTCATCCAGTGGATGGACCTACTGGGTCTTTGGTGAAGCCGGGCGACGAGCAACCCATCGGCTGGACGGATCTCTACACGAGCCGCAACTTTGCGGTCAAGGTGGTGGTGGCCGGCGAGGAGCTCCGCACGGCTCCGTTTGGGAATAGCCTAGCTGCTCTATCTAGAGTGCCAGAGTGCCTGGGGGTGTTGGAGTGTTTGGATTCAAAAACTAGGGGAGGCGGGTTGTATTTTTTCTTTTCTTCTACGCAGATCAAGTTTGTGAAGCTTGCTACACCTGGAGGTACTAAGGGTGTTGGCAGTAGTCAGCAATGCAGCCGAGTCATAGATCGCTGTGGATTTCTCTCGTCGTTTCTTCTTTTTCACAGGACTATCATATTCCGGATGTGAGGCGTCGCACTGAGATCCAGATCAAGGGTCTCAAGGTGGCTCTTTCTGTTCCTTGGTCACATCCCTTTTGGCTGACAGACCTGTAGTGAAGAGTCATTGTGTCGGTTGCAGACAAAGAATATCCAAGAACTGCAGCAGGCCCTGGAGGCCTTGGCTGAGTACAACCTCCTCAGAACTCTTAACTCTTGGCTCAAATCCCTGTTTTTGCAAAGTCGTTACCCGCATTCAGGTGTGTGTTTATTTTTAGTTGGTGGCTCCGGACCTGACACTAGCAGCTAACGCTTTAGCCCCTCCTCCATTATTAATGAGCCTCTATTGGCATATATTACTTTTTCTTGACGATCTAGCGGGATTCCAGGTGCCTTTCACCAAACCGGCAATTGGGATAGAGAAGCTCCATCACCAGCTCCACCTGTGTTGCTGAGCCTTTCTTCTTCAAGTTAATGCATCTCATTGAACCTGCTCGAATGTTCTCAAGCCACGGACCCCAGGCCAGAAGACTAAGGACAATCTGTTTTTCTTCACGGGACAGATGCAAGAACAGGCTCACATGTACACACCTATTTTATTTTTATTTTTTGGTACCTACATGCCAAATCATGCAAAGATGTAGAACATATTCCAACAATGTCGTGTCTTGTTGGTTTTTCAGGTCTCTCGTGTGGGAGAATCGACGATCCTGGCTCTAGATGATATGTACTCCCCAGTGGCGGCCTTGCTCGACAGCAGCGCCTCCGATGACGCTGAGATTCCAATGGCCGAGTGGTCGAGACGTTGACCTAGAACCACTCTACAGGACGCTACTGGGAACAAGAAGCTACTAGGGGCTCCTGGCATCGCTACTAGGAGCAGGACGCTACTAGAGGCTCCTGGCCGTACTACTAGGAGCATCCTTACTACTGGTAACAAGAAGCTACAATCAAGTCATGGAGGTAGCAAATTGGCTGGGAGGCTCTGGTAGGAGCATGTACCGAACGTCTCTATCGATTTTCTGGATTGGTGGATGAGTTGTGGTTTTGTCCTTCATGACCTTCATGGTGATCTAATCCAGCTTTGTCTCTTACCCTAACGCCTCTACTTGTTCGCCTAACTGAGGATCGGTCCTCCACATCGGAGCAAGCCTCTGTGGTGGAGGTGGATATTCAGTTGTGCCAGCTTGGAGTAGCCTGGCGCCGACTTGGTCATGGCATGTCAGGGTCGACACCCTGAACCCTCGTGGTAAGACTTAAGACTGGTAAGAGTAGGACCTGTCCCTTCTTCGACGCATTCCTGGCCACATCCAGTCAACCCTACCAAGATAGCTCTTTCGCCTGACTTCTGCACTGACTGTGAGGTCTCTTTGGTCGACGATCAGCCAACTCCCCATGAGCTTTTGTTCATCCACCTGGGCGACATTCAGCTCGGATACAAGCAGAACATCACCGAAGATTCAGAGCAGAACCTGGGCTCTCACGAAGATCCGTTCCGAACCTGGGGTTGCGGGTGAGCCAAACGAAGACTGTGACGGAGAGTCACGGAGATTGGTTGCAAGATACACATGAGCTATGGTCAAAACATGTGAAGACCACTTCAGTAAAGAGGGGTAGGTTTGTGCACAAAACCCTAGTAAAACGATAAGGTCCACCTCAAAATCGACAACCCCAGCGCTGTAAATGATCATAAGTATGTGGCGAACTCACAACACTGTAAAATGAAAAGGTCCAATTAAAAACCAATAACGTCCACTTTTTAGTTGACGAAAAACAATAAGTTTGACCGCCCCTCGCATGTAGGGCCTACAAAGTCCTACAAGGGGTTCACAAGGTGGTTTTGTTGGTCCAAGAAGTGAGTCAGAACAAGGGAGGCAGTTGATGAGTTCGATTCACACTGTGGTGCTATATCTGAAGCACATGACATGTAGCCCAGTGATGCCCCGCAAAATACCCTCCATCAGCCATTGAGGGGCGAATGAGTCTCCATAGTTTGATCGCCAATATGCTCTCTAACTTTGGAGGCGAGCATGGTGAACTTCCATCGCCACGTCTCTTCAAGAGTCGGACATCTCCAAGAACCGGGGGAATGGCAGTTCCAACGACCACATCCGTGATTCCCCGCATCCCCTCCGTGATCTCGGAACAGGTGTATTTCTGGCGCCAAGACATTCGACGTGGTCTTCATGTATTCTCTAACCGAGAACGACCGTTTGGTCTCAATGGTCTCGTTCGGCTTGGCGTCTTCGGGTCTCAGGATTCGCTTCCGGGTCAGGGAGCTGCAGGCGCGGTCCGGCGGACCGACATGACTCGTCGAGCCATGCAGCCGAGCGACTCTCCAGGCTGTTTCCCCAATTTCCCATGCCCGAGTCACTAGAACTGAGCAACCTGAGTTGTGTTGAAAGTTCAGAGGTCCAGGTCCAGGTCTAAGCTTGAGTTTAGACCCACTCATTTTTGGAAGGCTCATCCTTAAAATCTCCAGGGCGTCTGCCAGCTGCCTGAGCGCGTGGATGGCTCGATGATTGAGCACCGCAGGCAACACAAAGCAGGCGTCCTCCGAAAGGAGCTCGTGGGAACTGTGTGGGACAGGTGGGCCGTGGTGGGAAACCGTCTGCGGTATGGGAACCGTCGTAGTTGGAACAGGTTGGAACCCTTTGGTTTTCACACGTTTCCGCTCGAACGTCAAATGGACCTCCCCTCAGACTCAGAGAAGCCCCTTGTCTTCAGTCGCGTTCACGCAGCTGTGCACACTTGCCGGGCGGGTCGAAGGAGCTACCAGCAGTGATCTTGGCAAACCATGCAGAGAAGGAGGCCAACTTCCTGGACATCAACATCACCAGGGAAGCGACCTCATCCCAGGTGAGGATTGTTTTTTTAATGTTTTTGGGTCTGTGGTTGGAGCAAACATCGTAGGTTGTAGGGCCATCGTGCCATAGGGTTAGTTGAAGTTGCTAGGCCACATAACCAAGGTGCGAGCTGGAAATGAGTCTACCATCTATATAAGGATGGATACAGTCTCATATACTGGTCATCGATACCGCCCTTTACTCTTCGTCTTGCTGCTGCTGCTGGCACTCTTTCAGCTTTCTCAGAAAACTAAATGATCTCAGCTGGTTCTGCCACCCCGGGGCGCTTCAGGACCTGGTGCTGCCTTCAGCTGATGTGCTCATGGACAAGTTGGATGTCACCGTGGACTTTGTCCCCAGCCTCCAATTCATGGGCGGAATCTGTAGAACATTGTGTCGCATAGCAATGGACTGGTGGAATCCGTGTACCTTAAGTACTGCTCTAAACATTACAGTACGGGTCGTATTATATAACATTATATATAAAAATTATAAACATGTTCTCAATTCACCCATACACAGGATTTGGTGTGCAGTTCGTCTCAATCTTGTCTCAAGTGCTCTGTCAGTGGAGCAGGGCATCATCCACCAAAAGAGAGACTATCTTGAACATTATGGAATTACGTATGTGGAATGACTCTCCCGTTGTGTCCAGCCGTGGCAGTCATGGGGTGCACCGATGGCAAGGATTGGCTCTCGCCCTTGCTCAGCTGGTTGGAACGAGCGATCCCACAGGACGCCATGGACAGTGGAGTCAGCTGGGATGAGATGAAAACCAAAGTGGGCAGGCGCTTTTGTTCCGAATGGGGCACCGGCTTGAAGGATCTTAGGTGGATGTGAAGGGGAGCTTCCCTGACAAGGACCAGTGAAGGGGACTCGTGGGAAACCTGTACCGTAGCAACAAAATTCCATCCATATGTAAAGAGTACTTCTTCGGGGCGAAGGAACTTCTCTCAGTATTCCTGGTTTGCTTGTTTCGAAAAGATGAAGGATGGCCGAAAGAGAACTTTCAGAGCGAACCGCCTCACACCCCGTTAAACGCCAGGTCCATCACATGGAACTACGAACCGCCTCTGGTCCCAGCCGTAGCGGATGTCGACGCCTTGAAGTTGTCTGAGATCGATTTGACCGTTTGGTGTACCTCGCCGCATTGGGTGGGAGGGCGGAGGGCGGAGGGCGGAGTGGGCCAAGCCCTCGCTACTAGGGTGGAGGCCATCGCTAGTAAGGCTTCACATAGGGCTCTACCATGTCCATGTCTGGAGCCACTCGGTTCCTTTGGCCCGAGGCCGATTGCCATTGTCTAGCTTGGACTTCCTACCAGCACCGGTGCGCGGCATCTTGCGAGTGCTCTCTGTGAGCAGAGCTTTGGATGAAGATATGAGGACTCAGTTGAGGACCTGTGGTCTAGAAGGTAAACTATGAACCTCTATGGACTCCATGATGACTAAATTACATGTATATAATCGTCTTTGACACATGTGTTGTATTTGCCTTCCACCGTTCCAACTTCGAACTTTAGTTGAGACAGAACTGTGAGGTGCAAGCAGCGTGATGCTTCTGTGTTTTGATTCTGATTTGATTTGCGCATCAGTTCGAGAGATAGCCACGGATAGACCTTGCAGACCGTAGATTGGTTTGAGATCATTGATTCAGTCTGATCCACTGTAGTTCTTGAGATTTACTTGGATAGCACTAGATGATTGGGGTTGCCTTGAGTTTGTGAAGCTCAGGCAACTTCACACTGAACGCAGCTTCTATTCGGCTGCCTGAGAAGAAGCTGCCTGCCGCTTGGGCCCAGTTCTGACCACCCTTTTAAAAGAGGAGCATACAAGAAGGAATGTTGACACACTGCAAGACTCTCCGCAAAATTCCACGACAGTTTTCTTTTTCTTGGGGGGAAATCACAGTGATACAGAACATGCTAGTGATTCCAGTGGAGCATGTGGCACCATGGCCGAAAAGCGAGGTCTACCGAGGGCCGCTGGAAAACCTGGGCTTGTGCATTGCGCAGGACTATGCGGCCTCCTTGTTGAAGATTGAGCCTTGGCCGAGGTGTTTAAGTTCCCTCTCTAGGTGACCTGACCTAGGCCCAGGTCCAATCTTTTTGTCCTACTACAGTAGCAATGGCCTCCAAGCTACTAGCGATGGCCTCCAAGCTAACAGCAACGGCCTCCGGAGGAGATGTTCGGATGAACGGGTCCGGTCTTCGCAGAGTGGACTTGACAATGCAAGATGTTACGCAAAAGAGAAGACGGGGGGGCCAAGTGGCCAAGCGTGCCCAAGCACTCAAACAAACCATGGGGTTTCAGGATGTCCAAGGTCCGGTATTGAGACTTTTGATGGCTCAGGTGATGTCTCTGCTGGGCAAGAGCTCCTTGTTGAACGCGGGTGCCATCCCACTGGCCATGGGTGGCACTGCCGTGTCCATGGTCACAGATGGCGTGGGCAGCACCATTCGAGGGGGCGCAGGTCTCCTGGAGCATCTCACCATGGATGAGGCTTTGGGAACGAGCACTTGAGAGATCTTGAGAGAGGAAGCGAATGAAGATGAAGTGGTAAAAGGTGGTAAACCACAAATGGTCGTGCAAAGCTGCATAGTCAGTTTCTTGGGACGTGTACGCGAGGGTACAACAAACAGGGATTTGCTTGCAATGACATGTTCCAGTGTGTTGGGTTGATCAACGACTCATCACCATGTTCCTGAAATGCATGTCGTTCAGCCAAGTAGGGTTGCTCTTGGAAGTAGGGCAACGTTTCTGTTGGCGGTTCTGTGAGCCTCCGCCACGGGCTTTACATGGCAGTGTTCTCTTTCTTTGACTCCGCCAGCCCTCTCGTTGTTGACGGGGGGGTTTCGTTGGGACCTTTAATTCAAGGATCTGTAAAAAAGATTTGAAGGTGGTTGGCTTCCTGTTTAAACCACTCTTGCACTGCTGGTTGAGCTGTGCTGGTCCAGGTCTCCTTTTGCCAAGCACCACGCTGCGAGAGTAACATCTGGCAGAGTGGGTTATTTAACTATACAGTGATGCAATTCTTCTTTCGGATTTGTCACGGTGCTATGATGTGCTATGGCCTTTCTAACAACTGCTAAGCAAATCCCTGATCTCTACTGAAGTACGACTGTAGATGTCCGATCGAGAAAAGGTCCCCCGGGGGGTCATCCATTTGCTCCACCTTCGCCAAACACGGTTGAGCTTTTGGAGGACTATCATCAGAAGCAGAAGATGGACCGGCAGCAGAAGGAGATCAGCAGTGCCGCCGATGGTTTCCGAGAGGCTAGCTGGTCGATTTTGAAGTGAGTCATTCGACTGGTTTTGGATGGACAAGAGGCAAGATTGGTGTGAGATATGGGTGAATAGCTTTTCATTGATATAGATTGAGTGGAAGCATTTGTCATGCAGTCATGCAGAGTGGTCGACTTTCGGTCGGAACATGCCGGGAAAGCTTCACAACACGCAGAGCTACATCTTCGCCAGCCAAGCTCTGCTAGGCCGGCAAGTCCTTAGCCACGGGTTTTGATGGTGCCCTCGACGCCCTGATGCAAACCGCCGTGGAGTTCTGGTCGTTTCGCTTTGAGATGGCGAAAAGCCATTCGCAGCATGCATTGACCAAGAAGATCTCTGCAGACAAACACGAGAAAGGTATTTAAAGGCGTGTTCTTTTTGGGTGTTTCACAACGGTAGCTTAGCTTAGTGCGTGCTAAGATACCACATTGCATGGCGGTTTGCCGGTGTCCAGAGTCCTAAGCTTCAGCCGATGAGACAGGACTTCCAAGCAGTTGTGGTTTGAATATGCAATGTGGCAGATTCGCCAGTTGCTCGAATACGCTCTGTCACTCTCTGTGAATAGCATTTCCGAACCCAACCCTGAGGGGTTGGACCCTACCAAGCAGGTGGTCACCTCAAACCTGCGGATTCTGATGCTATCACTATCACCAAGAAGCAGTCAAAGATGAAGAGTATCCCAAAAATATCCTCCATCACTTCCATCACTCCCTTTTAGACATCCCTCCAAGCATGGCAGTGGACGCCGTACGAAAACTGAGGACATCTTCCGGAAGCCCGTGCAGGGCGCCCGGCAGGATGGTGCCAAGGGCCTGGCGATCGGCTGTGGCACAGGGATTGCAGGTGGGGCGTAGGATGGAGATTTCAGGATGCGATGGTTCGAAGGTGGACTCAACAGTTCTATGATAATGAATACAGTAGCGATGACCTCCAACTTAATATCGATGGCAGCCAACCTAATAGTGAATAGTCATTATAGGTTCTTGTTCTTTTTCAGATCTCAGATCAACAGGACACGCAGTTTGTGATTTGGAAACTCAGTACTCGTCCACTCCAAATGGAATAAATTCCGATTCAGAAACCACGATTCAGAAACTACGATTCAGAAAACACGATTGATTCAGAAACTACGATTCAGAAACTAACTACGATTCAGAAACTACGAAGAAAAACACAGAAGTCGATCAGGTAGGTGGAGGGGTGGGGTGGTTTGGGGGTAGGGGGTGGCTGGGTGGGTGGGATAGTGACGTTCAGTTTCTGGTTGCGAGCAAGGCGAGGAAGCACATGAATCACGCAGGCTGGCCCACACAAAAATAAGCAAAGTTAACCCGAACATGCCAAACAAAACTCTGCTTCAGAAGTCAAGCAGGTAGGTGGGTGGGTGGGTGAGTGGGTGGGTGGGTGGGTGGGATAATGACGTTCAGTTTCTGGTTGCGAGCAAGGCGAGGAATCACATCAATCACGAACATGCCAAACATTTCAACTGGTGTGAAAAGGAAACCTCAGTTTGGACGGATCTTTTCAAATGATACGCCATTGTAGGGAGTTATGGTATGTTATGGTTTGAGTTATCATAAGTTTGGCAGTCATCTTTGTGGCAACGCTGGGGTCTACTTGGAGCGTATATAATATTTTTGCTTCCTCCAGATCTTTGCTATAGTTTCTGAATCAGCCTGTCGTTTCCAAATCATAGTTTCCGAATCCGTCCTTGACCCTGCGAATGAGCAGAATGAGCATTTTAAAAAGATTCGCTGATCACAGGCAGATGAAGCATGTAGCTGCCTTCCGTCGGGCACCGCCAGGGTATTATATAGATGGTATTAGTATAAGCACAATATCAGAACCCATCTTAGGAGAATGCAGCCCCATGCAGTCCCAAGGTCAAACAAGCTGTGGCTCGCTTTTTCTGTACGTTTCTACCATTCAGATCTGAGCTGAACTTCCCAGTCTCAGGCACTGTGGTGAAGCCAGTGGTCGGCGTGGGGAGTGCCGCCTCAGACATCATCACTGGCATCTCTGCCGCCGCCACCTTTGACTCCCCAGCCAAGAAACGACGCCGGGAGGGGACCGGAGGGAGAGAGACGCAGAGACTGGGTCGTAGAGCACCCCACACCCTCGCATTGAAGCTACTTGTATCATCTTGGATACGAAAGAACCGAGTTGTACCATAGCCGTAGCCTTTGTGAAGAATGACATAGTGCCCGAGGTGCTTGTTTAGGCATTATTCAAGCCTTGCAGCATTTGTTCTTTGCTCTTAAAGACGGTTTCTATATTGTAACATTCCATTCCATGAAACAATACTATGTAAACACTTGACGCACATGCAAATGTACGACAAATATAGATGAATTATATAATAAAAACACACACACACACAAATACATGTTATTTATTGAGTTTCTTGTCCAGCATCCGGATTCAGACCTGTGAAGCCCCCATCCCTTCCAGGCCGCGAGCGTTGCCGGTGCCGTGGACCTCGAATGCTCTACGGACAGTTTTTGGGCTGCAGGGACTCATGTTTGGCTGTTCTGAGGGACTCATGCATTCAGAATTCTCCGACAATTGAACTCCTGAATGACAATGGAAGAGATCATGAAAGGAAAGGATGACAGTGAACACATATGAAAACAAGGAAAACTGAAAGGATGACAATCGAAGAGATCACGTCCCTTTTGGTCAATTGTAGCTATTGATTGATCAAGACCTTTGAGCACCGATACTTTTGAGGAAAGCTCTGATATCAGAACAGAACTAGAACGTTTCATATCAAAGGCCTTGAAGTACTGAGGATGTGCATGTTCTGGAGAGTCCCTGGACCACATCACATGCGTTGAAGCATACAATGCTCTACGACACCTTGTAACCTGACGAGGACACCCAAAACCCAAAACTGATGCATGCCTCCAAGCACTGCTGCCAGTGCATTTTGGAACCACCCTAACTGTGTGTTCCAAGAAAGTTGTGAAGAGTGCTCTCAAATGTTCTCAACATCTTTGTGTTCCAAGTGAAACCCAAACAAGACAAGCTGCAGACAGGGGACAGCTTTGCCCTGGGAACCAAGACAAACTCGTGGATTTGGCTGACTTCTTTCCTCGAATTTGTTATTCCAGGCAGAATGCCAGAAGGTAGGCCATGCTCTATGTAGGCCATGACTCGTGAGGTTCTCAAGATGCTGATCCGCCCGAGAAGCACTCGAGTCTCCGAGGTCCGCAGTGATGCGAAAATGGAGCGACTCGGATTCCCAGCTCTTGCTGCAGCTGGGCGCCATGGCAGAAGGAATCCGGGTGCCTTGGACCGCATCTAGAGATGAATTGGAGATAACTAGTAACAAGAAGCTACTAGGGGCTCCTGGCACCGCTACTAGGAGCAAGGACGCTACTAGGGGCTCCTGGCCGTACTACTAGCAGCAAGGACGTTACTAGGGGCTCCTGGCCGTACTACTAGGAGCAAGGACGCTACTAGGGGCTCCTGGCATCGCTACTAGGACGGAGCAAGGACGCTACTAGGGGCTCCTGGCATCGCTACTAGGAGCAAGGACGCTACTAGGGGCTCCTGGCATCGCTACTAGGAGCAAGGACGCTACTAGGGGCTCCTGGCATCGCTACTAGGAGCAAGGACACTACTATGAATCAGGATGAATCGCTACTGACTGAGGAGATCATCCCACTGGCCTCCAGTGCTTTTCACCGCTACGTTTTGTTGCTCTACTCGGATCCTTGGTCTTTTTGGGCAGGAATTGTATGTAAAGACCCTGCAATCTCTGTGTCACTGTGTCACTGTGAAGGAAAGAGCTTCGCTTTCTGCGTTCATGCTCTTAGAAACCTGACGTTCGCACGTCGCAAAAAGGGAAACACCTCCGACCTGAACTTCTAGTGTTTCCGTTTCGCATTTCTTTGGAACCCCAAGAACGAACAACGACACCGATTTCGGTGTGTTGCCATGGCCCCCCATCTGCTTCCACGACGCCCCCGGAGGATCGCTTGGTCGTGGCGAAGCTTCGAGGATCGCGGGCCTCGTATGGTCGCCATTCCACACAGGTGGACCTGTCGGGCCGGAAGACCTCGGCCCGAAGCATTGAAGGCGCCCATTTTTCGGAGACGCCCGTTTTTCGGAGGTCGGGCCGTTTTTCGGGGTTTGGTGGTCTTCCTGAGTCTTCCTGAGTCTTCCTTCTTTCTACATTTACATGGGATGTTCCATTCATTTGAAGGTGTTTGAGTCCTTTTGGGTCCTTTTGGGTTTCTGAGTTTTTCTAATTATGATACTCTATCTGATCCGGAGCGACAAAGTTGTCTTGGGACAATTCCCCTGGCTCTTTGGAGTGACAGTGTTTCTGAGTGACACGGAACACCTTCGGCCCACATTAAACGTGGGGAGACGGCGATGTGGAACCGTCCTCCCAAACATCCGCACGGATGTGGTCTTTTTTGGCCTGGCTGGTGATGTAGAGGCCACGGGCACAACGGAGGATCGGCTCGTGGTTGGTCGGTTGAGGCCACGGGCACAACCACAAGCTGGATGGGAGCTTCCCTGAGCTACTGCAGTCCATGGACGATGTGGTACAGAGGCAGAGCTGCAGTGGTTGAGTGGTGATGGGCGCTTCGTCTAAGAGGTTCATCCAGAATTGAGGATCATCCAACTGTCCTGGTAGGAGATGTATCATGATGTATGGAAGATACTCTCCTTGGGCCGAACGCTCTATTTTGAGTTTTTGAGTGGGGAGGGTTTTGGCCCTCCAACTGGCTCTAAGTCTGGCTCATTGGCAGGTGTAGCAGCGACCTCAGCTCAGTGCCACAGAATCCACATACGGGTCTGGCCCGGGGCTTGCTGTTCGAGGACATGAAGGAAGCAATCTTTTCAGGTGCCGAGTTCCGGTCTTTTCATCGAACGACCGGGTTTCAGGACTTTAAGCTTTCTGTATTGCTTGAGCAAGTAAGAACATGCAAGAACCCATTGTGATCCAGTCACTACTGTTGATTTTTGCCCCATGCTTGACTGCTGTCGAACTTGCAGCGATGGCGTTTTGAAGAAGCTGCATGTTCAGTTTCAATCGTTTGGTTTCTCTTGCATTCTCGTATTGGATTGTTGCCACTCTCACACCCGTGCAGATATCGATGAAGAGCTGGTTGTGGAAGACTCTCAAGGCAACAGCCATCACATCCCCTTGATGCTGGAGTCTGATGCCAAGGCGAGGTTACGCCGTTCAAACTCAGGTCCGCTGGGGTCCAGAACAGAACATCGAAATCGTTCCGTTCCGGCCTCCGCTCCCACGGAGAAACCAAACATTCCAAACCACAGCTTTCTGTGCGGTTGGGAGACTAATGAGCGCAAACAGGTCATCACGCAACCGGCAGAATGCGCAAATCTTTGCGAATATCGAGATCACTTTCAAGCTGCCAAGTTCTGATCTTCACTTAACTTCGGGTATAGCCGCATTTCCATATGTCCATTCTCCATCCAAAAGTGATCCAAAGGTGATCCAAAGGTGATCCGAGTGATTTTTTATGGGGACACGACATGCATGATTTTGCCAAGTGAGTTTGCTTCCATCCTCCAGGAGGCCTTTCAGAAGCTCATGCAGGAGGCCGCCGCTGGGCGACCTGACTGGCGCAGCTTTGCGCATCGCTGGCGACCCGAAGAGGAGGCGGTGGGACCGTTGTCGTTTGATCTCTTCATCGCTGTCTGAGTCTGAACTGTCCAAGTACGTGGCCTCCAAGTCTTGACAGTCCAAGCAGGTTTGGAACAAGCTGCCAAAGATGGAAGATGGACGTCGACGTATGTAGACGTATGTAGACTGTAGACGTCGCAAAATGGTGCTGCTGTCGCTCGGTCGAAACTGGCTCCAGGTGCACGAAACTGCGATTCGACCCAGGCAGCGGGAGGATGGTCAGTTGCAGGTCATTCAGCTGTGATTCAGAACGTTCCAGCTGTCAGGATTTTTAGAAATGCTAGGCAGAAGATGCCGCGCTGGTTTTGAAACAAAAGATGCCCAAGGCACATGTACTTGTACAGAGTACAGAGTTGCACTTTTCCATGTACCCTAACAATGCCAATGAAGGTTGGTTTGAAATTCAAGAATGCACCCTGTGACACAGCTCCAGGGAATAAGGGGCAAGACCTCACTTGAGCTGAACACTTGATGGTACACGTAGACAACACAGACAACCCAGAGCTTCAACCGTTGATACAATTCTTTGAAAGGTTTTGCTTCTTCTTAGTTCTTTTGAGCGTAGGATTCGTAGGCGAATTGGCCTTAGGCCCAATGAGTGCCTGGCCTGTGAATCATTCTCATGCCAAGCAGAGGAGCTGTACAGCACCCGAAGGGGTTGAGGCAACCACAGAAGCAACGGATGGCAATGCCGTGGCTTAGCCCTTTTTAGTAAGCTCCTCAAGTTGACAAAGTCTGCGCAGAGAGTGGATTCGATTCATAGTGTCCAAAAAGGCGACGAGAGAGGTACTCTGCTTGCAAGACACTGCATGATCAAACCCGATCGCACATCCAACACCACAAGGGCTCCTTGCATATTGTCCACGGATGATCACGGATGTCCACGGTCTCAGTATACGGCATCCGCATTTGGGTCTTTTCCGGATTCATCAAGCCTTTTTCCAGACTGCTTTGGATCAGGTCAGATCAGATCCGCTTTTTCGCTAGATCCATGCAGCAAAGCTTCACTGATCCTGCTGGACCAACAAAAATACTATGAACTTAAGGTGTCCTGGCTTTGCTTTTGTCCGGTAAACCCGCAGGTGGAGCGATCCAAGCAGATCAAGGACTGCCTCAGTCGCGATCCGAGCAGCTTTTGCCGATCCGTCGCTTTTGCCGATTTTGGGGATTTCCGCATTCTGTGCCAACCAGTTGCTTCGTCCTTTTGGAACGTCTGAGATCCTCTCCCCAAGAAAGAGTCCTGGGATGTCCTGGGCCATCGTGTTCAGGTCTTTGGCGCTTGGGCATTCGCAACGGCAAAGCTCCTTGTCAGATCTGGAAAAGCATATCTGTTAGGTCTGTCCTATACCTGTAGCAGTTGGTACAGTTCGCAAACAATTTAACACTTTATAACTATGTTAGAAAGGCCTTTACTAATCATCATCATCCACTGTTACTGGTAATGAGATACACTGAGATACACCCAACATATCCGTAGCACCTATATAATGGGATCTCAGGGACCTGACAACAGGCGTGTGTGGTCAGGGCATGTCAGGGCCACCAGGCACGACTTCTGATGCATCCAAGTTGATGGCAACGGGAGGCTAGTGATATTGGATGTCCTGAAAGCCGTCTAAGTCTATGTGTAGCATTGTGTAGCAACATCTCGGGGAAACGCCATGCCAGACTGTTGTGTGGGCCAAAGGGGAAAGCGCT